GTCTCTTTTAAGGCATAGTTTGTACCGAGCGTCACCGCAAGACCAATACCAAATTGTTTAGCCCCTTCATAGTCTCGTTTCGCAATCGAGGTGACCAGAGCCGCGCTTGGCAGCACAAACTCGAGCACATCACCCACATCCCCGGTAGTACTGCGACCCAGCGGATTCTGCTCTGCGCCCGCCTGACTCGGCAACGCCAACAGCCCCAAAAATAAAACCAGCAAAAGACCCTGGCATTGCATTACGGATTTAATTGGCCTGTACTCCTAAATCATCAAGCAAGGCCTCAAATGTATCTATCCGAGGCGTCAGGCTGTCGACAGTGTCCTGCCAGAATTCAGGCTGTTCAAGATCAGCATCCAGATGTTGACGGGCAAGATCTTCCGCTGTCATACGGCCGGTATCACACAGCAGCGCAACATACCGACCGAAGAAACCTGGGCCAGACGTACGTCGGCGCGTGTAAACACCCGAGCTGAACAGGTACCCGAAGAGATAAGGGAAATTATAAAAACTCAGGCCGGAAATATAAAAATGCAGCTTGCTCGCCCAGAACATTTCGTCCGGCTCAGACAAACAATCGCCATACCAGTTCTGCCACGCCTCACGCATCAAAGCTTTCAGTTCCTCGGGTTGCTGCGGCCGCTCCCGCCTGGCTTCGTACAAACGCAGCTCAAACTCGAAGCGGGTTGGAATATTCAGCATGAAACCCGTGTGGGAGCGCAACTCTTCCCAGATGATGTTGAGCTTTTCCTGTGGTGACGACGAACGCGCAAGCAATGCATCCCGCACCAACGCCTCACCAAAAGTACTGGCTGTCTCCGCCAACGACATACCATAGCTGCGCTGACTGTCAGGCAGATCGCGCATAACGTAAGAATGGAACGCGTGCCCTAACTCATGCGCCAGAATTATCACATCCATCTGTCCGCCGGTGTAAGTTGAGTATACCCGTTGCTCTCGAGACTTGGAAAACGTGGTCGCGTAAGCACCCGGGCGTTTTCGCGGACCTAGCGAGCCTTCAATCCAGTTGTTGCTAACCATCATGCGCACAAAGTCCGCCATCTGGCCGTCCACTTCACCGTACGCATTGGCGATGATGTCAATCGCCTCGTCGAAGGCCAGCGGCGCATTCGAACTTGTATCCAGAACCGGCGCGGGAGCGACCACATCCCAGGGCGAAAATTTGTCTTTGCCATAGGCGCGCGCCATTAACGCTGTCGCGCGCTGCGACTCTGCTTTGTTCTTTTCGCTGACCGCCAACAATGTATCTAAGGTTTTCCTGTTAAGACGGCTGGCATGGGTCGGCGCATCAAGAAAATGTACAGGCCGCTCGCGGCTGCGTTGTTTACACATTTCCAGACGCCACCCGGCAATTGAATTCAGGGCGGCTGCGCAGCTTTGTTCCTGGGACTGCCAGGCATCACTCAACCCACGCCAGGCGGCTTCCCGCTGGGGTTCCGATGCATCCATGAGCAACTTATTGGCCTCTGCCACCCCCATGGTCTGCTCTTCGTTACCGACCATGACGTGACAGCTCAAACTGCTGGACAACTGGTTATACAACTGGCCCCAGGCATGTATACCATCCTGGGATAGCCCGTTCACCAGGCTCTCTTCGGCAAGCGTCAAATTTTCATGCCTGCGTTTACGACCATGATGCACCTGGAATGCCAGCGCCTGCACCTCGGGATGATCAAGATACTGCGCAATCTCTTCATCGCTCGCACCATCGACAAACTGCGCCAGCGGTTCAAAATAATCACCAAACCGCTTGTTATAACTCTGCAGAGATCCATTGAGCTTAAGCGCAGCTTCGTTCTGACTGTCTACAGACAGCAGACAATTGGCATAGGTATACACATTGCCAAGCAGATTGCCCGCGCGCTCAGCGTGAATCGCTATCTTCTGTGCTGTGCTGATTGCATCTGCGCCGGACAGCGCAGCATTCAACGTGTTAACTACCGCAAAAATAGCGTCCAGGTCATCGAGATCCGCCTGTAGCTGCGGGTCTTCAAGATCTGTGTATTCCGATGTCAGATCCCAAGACGGGCCACTGATCTCCATATTCGCTGTCATACCATCTTCGCAGATTCGAAAGGGACGGGATTAGACCCTATCCGGCTTGAAGGTCCAATAGCTATTGGCAAAATAGTTGGCCATCGCACCTGGGATGATGCTTACCGCCTGAGCGAGGATCTCTGGCTGGGACGGCCAGATCATACGCATCACAACAAAGGCACTGAAACTTACACCCAGAGTGAGCAGCGAAACCAGGTTGAACTTCAATCCGCGAACCCGTTTGCGGGTGGTGATCTGACGGTCGCGGAACGTCCAGTAGTTGTTTAAAAAGAAGTTCCACACGATAGACGTCTCAATGGCAATTACGGAACTCAGATAGACGTTCAAACCCGACGACAACAGCAGTTGAAAACAACCCAGGTTAATCACTACACCACTCAGGCCCGTCAGTACGAATTTTACAAAGGTCTTGCGCGACAGAAGCCGCAGCCACCAGACATGCAGAAAAAACTCGACGATATCGCTGCGCCCCAGTTTGGTTGCGCCGCGGGTACGGTCGCTGAAACGAATGGGTACCTCAGTAATCCGCGCGCCGCTAATCATCAGAGCGTGCAACAGCGCTACCTGAAAAACATAACCTGAAGGTGGCAGCCGCAGCGGCAGCGCCTGCCGCAACGCACTGACACGTATCGCTTTAAATCCGGCAGTACAGTCGGCGACACGATAAATGCCGGCAATATAGCGGGCAAAAAGATTGCCACAGCGCGACAGCAGACGTCGTTGCAAACCCCAGCTTTCATCAACTTCACCGCCGCTGGTATAACGCGACCCAATGACCACATCATGTTCAGGCAGGGTTGCTACAAGTCGAGCCACATCTTCGGGGGCATGGGAAAAATCTGCATCCATCTGCACCACAACATCAACTTCCATGCCATTTAAAACGTGCAGAAACCCACGCGTATAAGCTGAACCCAGACCGCGTTTGCGACCTGACAACAACCGCACCCTGTCGTCCTGAGCAGCTATATCCAGCACCTGTGCAGCTGTGCCGTCGGGGGAATTATCATCCACAACCAGCACGGAGAAAACGCAGCTGTTGTGGCTGTCAAATTGCGCTAACAAAGCCACCAACATCGCGCGTATGTTTTCGGCTTCGTTGTACGTGGGTAATACAACACACACCGACACCAGGTCGCTGGAATTTTCGGCAGAGGTACGGGGCTGATTTCTCAAAGGTACAGATCGGTGTGGCAAAGGCGCCCGTTATACCGCAGCCACTGCGACTTGTCATGGCACATGCCTAAGCGTTAGCCTGCGCCCCGGCAGCGTAAGCCTGTTTTGCGACAGCAGCCTGAATTGCCGGATACCGGAGAAAAATAATGACCATAAAACGCATCCTGCTTTGCTGCAGTCTGACCACGACCTTGTTTGCCGCCACAGCCTCAGGTGAGCCTGATGACTCGGGCACAGGACAATGGTTTGTCGGCGTCACCGCCTCCATTGCTGATGTCACCATCGAAAACATTTCGGCCAACATAGGCACCGGCGTTGTCATCGGCGGCGAACGTGACGGGCAGATCGAAGACACCGAAGTCGACGACTACACCGCCGGTTTTGGTTTTTCGGTTGGACAACGCTTCGGCTACTGGCAACTGGCTACCCAATACATTTACCGCTATCGCACAGATTGGGACGTAGTCGCGGCAACCCCGGCCATCCAAACTATTACTAATGTATTCACCAACGTGGAAACACATACTTTACTGATTAACGCAGCGCGGCGCGGTCCCATTACCCAGCACTGGTCCTGGGAACTCGGTGCTGGCATCGGTTACGTTCATCATCGAATGGATTCCGAATACATAGAACGGGAAGTGCCTGGCGTAAGCGGTGAACAGGTATTCAAAGACCAACGTCGCAACGGCGGATTCAGTTATAACGTCTTTGCCGGGGTGACCCGCGAGTTCGGTCGCGACTGGACGCTTAACTTACGCACCAGCTACATAGATATGGCTGAGCTTAAAGCCGGGTCTTTTCCAGAACGGCCGGTTCGCTTAAGCGCAGATCAACATGCGGTTGAACTGCAGTTTTCAATCGAAAGAAATCTTTAACAAGCAACAAACCTGAAAAGAGAAGGTCATCAACCAGCTGCGTTGTGTTCATACAGTAGCGCATTACCCTTTTTTCCGACTATTTCTGTCACCCCGGCATGGCGCAGGCAATAAGCCATTTTCTGCGCTATATCTAACGGCTCGTCTAAGGCCGTCGCAAGGTCCCGGGTATCAAAGGGCGTAGGCAGCTCCATCTGCAGAAAATTAAACAGATCTGCCATATCCTGCAGGCGGACCCCTTCAACAATGTCGAGCAGGTGCTTTTCTTTGACCCGCCAGCCGCCGCGCCGGCGATTTTTCTTCGGATCAAACACCCTTATCTCTCGCACTTCAGTCAATACCGCCTCAACAGAAAAGTTAGGGTGATTGAGCATCTGCGGTAAATAAACGAGTTCATTAACTATGTGTATCAGCGCACCGCGTTTCGGCGACTTACGACTGGCCGGCTTTGCGCTCCCGTCTTCGGGCTGTTTAACGATGGTTGTGGTACGTGCAATTGGGTGCACCAATACCACCGGACCCACATCAGCCAACACACGCATCTTTCGACTCAGGCCGCTGAAACTACCTGTTTGAATCTCATACATGATGCCGTTGCGCACAGCGTCGGCAACAAAGGTCTGTACGGACACCTCTTCCTCGCCACCATTAGCGGAATAGGCTGCTTTCAGAGCGGCATGCAAAGGCCCTTCATTTAAAACACCAATCGACATAAATTCTGCTGAACGTAACGCGGCTTATAGCTGCGCACTGTACCGCAATTTCTCGAGTTGCTCACACCGCTGCCTATGCCATACTGCGCACTCTACAAAATAACCCCTGGGAGAAGAGATAATGAGCGCAGACGGCACCTGGAATACGACTATGAACACCCCCATGGGCGCCCAGAATGGCACCCTGCATCTGACCAGCGACGGTGGCAATCTGACCGGCAAGCTGGCCGGACCACAGGGCGAAATGGACATTACCGATGGCACCATTGACGGCGACAATCTCAGCTGGAAAGCCTCCATCACCTCACCTATGGCCATGACCCTGGAATTCAGCGCTGTTGTCAGCGGTGATGAAATCAACGGCAACGTCAAACTCGGCGCTTTCGGCGACGCCACCTTTACCGGCACCCGTGCCTGATAGCACCGCATGAGCTGGGAAGAAGAAATTCGTGAATTGCGGGCGCGTGAAGCGCTTGCTTTCGAAATGGGCGGTACAGAAAAAGTAGCCCGCCAGCACGAATTCAACAAGCTGACTATCCGCGAACGTATCGACGTCATCAGCGACGCCGAATCTTTTCATGAGATTGGCACCCTCGCCGGTGTGGGCGAATATGACGATCAAGGTGAACTCAAGAAATTCACACCCTCGAACTTTGTTTTCGGAACCGCTGACATTGACGGTCGTCCGGTGGTTCTGTCTGGCGACGATTTCACCGTTCGCGGCGGCTCAGCAGATGCCTCAATTGCCGGCAAGAGGCTTCGCGCTGAAGGGCTCGCGGTAGAACTGCGCTTACCCCACATTCGCCTGGTTGATGGCATGGGTGGCGGCGGTTCGGTCAAGACCATTGAGATGGCCGGTCGCACCTATATCCCGGAGGTACGCGGTTGGGAAACGGTAGTCACGCAGTTAGGTGTGGCGCCATCGGTATCCTTGGCCCTGGGTTCCGTCGCCGGTATTGGCGCAGCGCGCGTCGCCACCTCACACTACAGTGTGATTGTGCGCGACAGCGCGCAGATGATGATCGCTGGACCTGCGCTGGTCGACTGGGCCAGCCTCGGTGACGTGACCAAAGAAGAGCTGGGCTCATACAAAATTCACACGCGTAATGGCGCGATTGATGATGAAGCCGCCAGCGAAGCAGAAGCCTTTGCCATGGCCAGACGATTTCTGTCGTATTTACCCTCCAGCGTTGATGAATTACCTCCGCTCACCGAATGTGATGACGACCCCGAGCGCACCGACGACAAGCTGCTCGACATCGTGCCGAAAGACCCGCGTAAGGTCTACAAGATGCACGACGTGCTCGAGTCTGTTTGCGACAGCGGCTCATTTTTCGAAATTGGACGCAAATGGGGCCGCTCACTCATCACCGGTCTGGCCAGGCTGAACGGCATTCCGGTGGCCATCTTTGCGGAAAACCCACGGGTTTACGGTGGCGCCTGGACAGCAGACGCATCCCGCAAGCTGATTCGCTTTTGCGATCTGGCATCAACATTCCACCTGCCACTGATCCATCTGGAAGATTGTCCGGGCTTTCTGATCGGTAAGCAGTCCGAAGAAGAAGCCACCATCCGCCATGGCTCCGCTGCACTGGCAGCCTTGGGGCAAAGCAATGTGCCCTTCTGCTGTATCGTTATTCGCAAAGCGTTTGGCGTTGCCGGTGCTGCAAACCATAAACCCGGCAGCCATCATTTCCGCGCTGCCTGGCCATCTGGTGATTGGGGTTCTTTACCAATTGAAGGCGGCATCGAGGTGGCATACAAAGCTGAACTGGCCGAAGCCGCTGACTATGATGCACATCTGGCAAAAATCAAAGATCGTCTTAACCGACTGAGATCCCCTTACCGCTCAGCCGAATTTTTCGAAATCGAAGAGATCATTGACCCCCGACAGACTCGGTCATACCTGTGTCGCTGGGCAAAACTGGCGCGCGCGGCATCCCGCCCGCAGGCTCCAAATTTCTGGTACCGACCCTAGAGGGACCCGCATTGCCAAGCCGTTACAGAATGATGCTTTCTGCACTTGTATTACTCGCCGCGACAACGGCCCATGCACAAACCCAATGCACAAATGATGGCTTGTTACGCAGCGTTAACGTGGTCTACCCGGAACAGGGGCAGGTTTTACCCTGCGAAGTCCGTTACGAAAAACCTGCAGAGAATCAATCCATGACACTCTGGCGGGCAGAAAATCAGATAGGCTTCTGTGAAGCTCAAGCAGAGAAATTCATCGCCAAACTGCAGGACCTGGGATGGTCGTGCAGTGCCGATACCAGCAGTAAACTGCAAGACGGAGAATAAAACCCGCCCATGGCACAGGAATATCGACAGCATTCATTCAAGCGTCCACCTGGCGCTACAGAGATATTGTTAGTACGCCATGGCGAATCCAGAGCCGCATCGGAGGACAATCCATTTCCTCTGGTTGACGGCCAGGGCGACCCGGAACTTCACCCGAACGGCTGGGAACAAGCCCGTCGCGTTGGCGAACGCCTCAAGAGTGAACCTATAGATGCCATTTATGTGACCAACCTGCGCCGCACCCATGAAACGGCACAACCCCTGAGTGAGCACCTGAATCTCAAACCTATTGTCGAACCAGACTTGCGCGAAGTACATCTGGGCGAGTGGGAAGGTGGCTTACTGCGCATGAAAGCCGCTCAGGAAGATCCGATTTATCATCAGATGCGAATCCAGCAGCGCTGGGATGTTATTCCCGGTGCCGAAGGCTGGGATGCGGTTAACAAACGGGTGTCCGCGGGCCTTAGCCGCATCAAAGCCGCCCATCCGGATCAGCTGGTGGTCGCTGTTGTGCACGGCGGTATTGTCGCTCATATTCTGGCTCATGCCAGCGGTGCCCGGGCGTTCGCCTTTCAGGGGGCGGACAATGGTTCGATCAGCCACATTGTACTGATGGACGACCAGATCGTAGTACGCCGCTTCAACGACGTATCACACCTTCTCGGCACGCTGCATGATGGCAGCGGCGGTATGACCTGAACCAGGGTTGATCGGCTTTGGCCATCTCAGCCTGCCATTAGAGTTTTTTAGCCACCATGGTGCTGGCGGGCTGCATCACCAGCATAGAGTTGCTGTCCGCATCAAACTCCACCACCACATCTGGCACACTGTCGAAGTGAAAACGCCCGCCCAACTCCGGCACCAGTTCAAAGGTAGGCTGTCCCGGCACAACAACGTGCAGAGCAGAGCCCTTCTGTACAACTGAGAGCACTGCCAGCGGTGTCGTGTAGTCACCCACCCATTGTGCCAACCATGCAGGATCCGTCATCTGCGCTTCAACCTGCTTATCAAACACAATGGCGTCGGCAGTGGGTTCTAATCGAATCGAAACCCGGGCGATATCGCCACTCAGATTGTTATGAAACTGCACCAGGTGATTGCGCATGGCCATATCTTTCGATTCGCCAGAAGTCTTCCAGACGTCATAATGCCAATGGCTTAGCGGCACCAGCATATCGTTGTAGATAAGCTGCAGCTGCCTGCCAACCAACTGTATCTGCAGCTTACCGTAACCCGGTTGAATATAGTCCCCGCCGTACGCCGCAAGTTTATGTGTAGGTCTGGTATTCAGCTTACGCCGAGGATCATCACGCTCAGAAGGATTTGGCATCTCTGCGTTTTTCTTACGGGCCAGCGCCTGCGCCAGCCAATCCTTCTGCGGATGTCCAAGCAGCATGTCTACAGCGGTCAGGCTGAGCCATTGAGGCAGCTCGGTGTTTGCGTTCGCGAAGGCAACCAAACCCAGATCCTGCTGCGGAAACAACATGACATTGGTGATGAAACCATCAATGCCACCACTGTGATGCACGTGTTTTTTCCCCTGGTAGGTACCAACCATCCACCCCAGACCATAAACAGGTGGCGAAAATTCCTGCCCGGAGGATTCCACACCCATAGGCATGTGGTAGCCACGGATCTCCTGCAATGTCGTGGCACTCACCAGCGGATGTCCATCAAACCCACCTTCAGCCAGGTTCAACTTCAGCCAGTTGGCCATTTCATTAATAGAAGAATTAACCGAGCCTGCGGGACCAATGAGATCCAGCGAACGAAAAGGGATTTCACTGACCTCGCCGTCTTCAATAAGATATGGCCGCGCGAAATTATCATCGGTTTGCGACTGCGCAACGGAAAAATTAGTCCGATGCATGTTCAGCGGACCTAGCAGGCGGGCCTGCATCAGGTCTTCCCAGCTTGGCTGGCCAGCCACTGACGCGGCCAGCATCCCGGCGGTCATATACATCAGATTGTTGTACTGGAAAAGGCTGCGTGGCCCAGCCGTCAGCGGCAGATATTCAAGTCGGCTTAAGGCTTCTTTGCGCGACGTAGAAGTGTTGTTGTACCACATCAGATCATGTCGGGGCATGCCAGTTCGATGCGTAATAAGATCTCTAACAGTCGTCTGGGCAGCAACAGCCTCATCAGCAAGCTTGAACTGCGGCAGGTGGTCCCGCACCGGGTCATCCCAGGACAACTGTCCAGCTTCAACCAGCATGCCCAGTACCGTAGTGGTCATCGCTTTAGTGGTTGAGCCGATCGCAAACAGTGAATCCGGCGTCATCGGCAGATTATTTTCAACATCACGCAAGCCGAAACCGCGCGCATAAATCAACACGCCCTTGTGCACAATGCCAATAGCAGCGCCGGGCGCCTGAAAGTCCAGAAGGGCCTGCTCAGCCTTTTCCGCCAGCCCCTCCAAGGCTTCCAGGGCTGCACCAATTGGATCTGCAGGCATGAGATCAAAAGCAAAAGTTCCACCACTCTGGCTGAACAGGCCAGATACAGAAGATATCTGTCTGCCGTCCTCCGTCAGCGCCAGCTCACCCAGGAAAGATGGATTGCCCGGCACACCTTCAATCACAAAAGCCAGGGATGTCAGGCCGTTAGCGGTAGACAGCAGCAGATCTTTTAAGGGGAGGTTTTTAGCGCCTTGCGCTGGAATACTGATCGTACCGGACAGCTGCGCGTTTTCGCCATGCAGGACAACTTCGATATCAAGATGCTGGTTCGGCAGTGCAATGCGCCCTTCCCAACTGCCTTCAAGCGCGGGCAAACCATAAACACTACAGGTGATAAAACAAAACCCAAGCAGCGCAATGCTCCGCAACCTCCTGCAGCACAACCGTCCCGACCCTGTTTTCATGCCAAGCCCTCCACAGCCTGGAAACACAATATCCGGATTTACGTGCCAGGACAATTTACAACAGAGCGTTGAAAACCGCGTTAGCGTCATCACAGGAAATTGATGTTCTATACGTTAAACTGCGGTTTTTTAATCAACTCAGGAAAATATTACAGACATGTCTTTTGAACTGCCCGCTCTGCCTTATGCCGACGATGCCCTTGCACCCGTTATCACCGCTGAAACCATCGGCTACCACTACGGTAAACACCACCAGGCATACGTCAATAATCTCAATAAGCTGATTGCCGATACAGACCATGCCGATGCGTCTTTGGAAGAAATTATTGTCGCCAGCGAAGGCGGCCTGTTTAACAACGCTGCGCAAGTCTGGAACCATACTTTCTACTGGCATTGCATGACACCCGGCGGTGCCGCACTTGAGCAAGGACCACTGCTAGACGCAATCAATAAAAGTTTTGGTTCCGTAGATAAGCTCAAAGAGCAGTTCATTGCCGCTGCAACCGGCAACTTTGGATCCGGTTGGACCTGGCTGATTGCCGGTGACAACGGTGATCTGGAAATTGTTAATACCAGCAATGCAGACACCCCTCTGGCACACGGTGCACAACCTTTACTGACCTGTGACGTCTGGGAGCACGCGTACTACATTGACCATCGCAACGCCCGGGCAACCTACTTAGAAGGTTGGTGGGGCCTGATCAACTGGCCGTTTGTTGCCAGCCAGCTCTGATCCTGATTTGAGCTGAAACAACGCCTCCACACAGGCCTGCATCTGACTGCGGGTCCTGCTGGAGGCACCTTCTTTACGAATCGAGCCCATCGCCTGGGCTAACCTGCGCCGAAGGTCCTCTGGGATCTGATCCATCACGTTTTCCTGGTCCTGCATCTGCGCAGACATGACACTGCGCAGCGCATGATTACGCTCACGAACCAGATCATGATGCAGCCATGCACGTCCCAAAAATACCCAGGGAAAATTTGCCGCCTTTATCGGACCCACCTGCACAAGCTTGCCGCCCAACTGCTGCCCGAGCACTTTGATTTTCGCAATTTCATCCGAAGCAAACCAACTGCCAAGGCTGCCCACAGCAGCACCCACAGCGGTACCCAACAGCAGGGAAGCGCCACCAAGCAGCGCATCTATACCAAAGCCAGCCACGGCACCGGTCATGGCACCGGTGATCAGCAATTGCGTTCTCGACAAGCCGAACAAAGCCCAGCCTTCTTCACTGAACAGATCTATATCCAACAGCACCAGATCGGTTTCATCAGCGCGCATGCGATCATGACGGTAAATACTTTGCACCTGCTGGCGCGCCCGTTGCTCGCGTTCGCGGATGCGTTGTAACAGCGCGTTACGCAGTGACTGCGCGACACCATCGGTAGCGCCACCCTCCTCGACAAACTGCTGGCCGGTATAACTGAGGCAATCTATCAACGCATCTGCAACTTCTATCGCGCTGCGGTGCAGACGGCGGCTACGTTCGGATTGCAGCGCAGCAATAGCGGCTTCCATGTCACCGCGCCAGTCTTCATTGAGCTCCGCAAATGCACGTAATAAATTGGTCCGCGTATCGAAGTCCGCAAACATGGCATTAAACACACGCACAATAGAAAAATACTGATCTAACGCTCGACGCCACTGATCCTGATAGTCACCTGCCCCTATCAGGTTTATCAAGGCCATACGGGGCTGGCCCGTCCACTGCAGAATCTGCATTTCAATTTCATACTCGGGCCCGTAAGGTTTCGAGCCATCAACAACATATAAGATCCCCGCACCGTCCAGAATCGGTCGCAGAAGCTCACATTCGTCCTGAAATCTATCATCGTCCTGGTGTTGATTTACAAACGCCCGCACCACATCCACCCGATTGCTGGCGTCTTCCACATGCGCCTCAAGCCATTGCAGCACGCCGGTTGCTCGCTGAAAACCAGGCGTGTCGACAAGCGTATACAGCACATTACCATCAACACTGAAGTCAAATCGTGTCGACTTACTTGTTGTGCCCGGGCGGGAGCTGATGGCGATATCTTCATTTTCCGCCAATGTGGCAACAATTGAACTCTTGCCTTTATTGGGGTGGCCGACAACTGCAAACTCAGGCATCAGAAACCCCACCGTAACTCATGACGTAAGTGCGGGCGTCGTTCAGACCGGCTACGGTTCGAGCCCACACGGCGATGTCCTCTGCGCTGGCTGGGGCAGCTTCAAGACCTACGGGAACCACCGCTATCGAGCAGGTTTTGTTCACCTGTTTGCGCAGAGCTGCCAGAAAGTCGAGGAACTCCAATAATGGTGGTTCCCAGCTTTTTGTCAGCACAACCACTTTCTCGTAAGGCCCGGGCACCTGTTTAAGGATGTTATCCATAGCTTCGATTGTGGATAAGGCGGATAACCAACCAACACCTTCAGAGCGAAGCGCAGATTCTGACACTGCACCGTTCCAGACGAGAATGTAGGCATCATCAAAATCCAGAGAAACCGGACTCCCCTCTGGCCTTTTGAACTCCCGCACATCTACTTCGGGAAACAACTCAGAGCGATCTGCCTGCTCCTGATGTTCACCTAAATCAATCAGCGGTGAGACCAATCGATCGATTAACGCAGTCACTTCCGAATGTTCCAGCAGATAAGTACGGGTTGCTCGATGAAACCGCCAGCTCCCAAGCAGTAAAAGCAATAAGCGAGGCATTAATCCCCATACCAACAAGCTCATAAACACATATTTCCACCAGATACCAAGGCGGGCAACCTGTTCAACGCCGCTGGGGGCAGCCAATCGAAATATCCGTGAGGCTTCAACCAGCTCAGCATCCGGCGCAGCAGCAGGCCAGAAGCTGGCCCAGGGAAACGCCACCGCGTTAAACAGGCTGTATATAGAGGTGGGCTCTACCGCCAGAGTTGTGCTCCAGCCAAATGCCAGGTCGCTGACAGAGACAAGCACTGCTAACGCCAACACCGAACCGACATAGAAGCCGACCCCGAACCACTGCGAAAAGACCACAACCTGCCAGAAGCCGAGCCTGCTGCGGGCATCACCTTGTCCATAGTTGCCACTGAATTGCAGACCGATATAACGTTCAAACAGATCCAGCGTCCAGCGGCCGGGACTCATCCAATGGGGTAACAAGGCTATGGCATTCAGGCCAAAAGCCTGCAGGAAACAGAACATCAGCGTGAGTAACAGAAGCAGCAACGGAAGCAGCAGCAGCACACCCAGAAGCGCCAGCAGATTGATGGGGTACTCACCTTCGAAGGTCAGCGCCAGGCTGCTCACCCCCACGCCAACCAACAACCCGATACCCAGCAGCAGCCAGGACAGATTGCGGCGAACCTGCATCACACGCTGACCAAGACCCGAATTTGCAGGTCGCTCAATTGCCTGCCACCACAGCAGAACTCTACGCACAGGATCAGCATCAGGTTGTTGCTGACCAATTGATCGATCACGCTTGAGACGCTCAAGATCAGCGGTATTGCTGTCCTGTTCAAGCCACTGGTGGATGTCTGCGGCCTCGGCGAGCAGCGGTTGCTGATCAGGCACGGGGTGAGTCAGATCCAACATCAGGCACAGTCTCAGCCGATATCTGTAGAAGAACCTGCACTACCTCAGACAAATGGGCGGGTGGCAGGGCCTTCAGTTGTGCCATTAACTCATAAAGTTGTGCCGCGCCAATATGAAATTGCCCGGGTAGATTGTGCTCCTCAAAGGTCTTCGCAATCTCACGCATTTCGCCTGCAAAACGCCAGGCTTTTCTGGATGTGGCCAGAGCAGTTTTTTCACTGCGATCAGCCAGGCCGGGTTGTGACAGCTGCCATTCCTGCTGCAACGTCTCCGTTACTCCAGCCGCCTCAGCTAAGGCATTAACCGCCAGTAAAAGTGCACTTGACCCTTTTGTGTAAGCGGCATAAGCCATTTTTAGCGCAGACGCCGCGCTGCTATTTCCCTGCATGACAATCGCCTGCAGATCAGATCCGTCGAACATGGCAGCTACAGACGACGCCAGTTCACCGCAGAGATATAAACGTGTCGATCCTGGCTGACGAGCCGGTGGGCCAATGATGCCACCGTCAACAAACCGGCCTGCAAAAAGGTCAGCAATCTTTTCCGCAGTGGACGGTGCTATGGCGTTGGCATCAACAAAAATACCCGTGAAATTTTCCCGATGCACGCTCTGAGCAACGGCATACGCCGCATCAGGCGGACACACCGATATCAGCACATCAGCGTACTCACACAGTGTCGTCAAACTATCAAACGCCGTGAACTCGGCGGCGCGCGCGCGGGTTGCCTCGCTACGGTCAACATTCAGCCAGGCAACCCCATGCCCGTTGCGCTGCAGACACAAGCCTACGGTTACACCCATATCACCCGGGTGCAGAATACCCACGTTCATTGCAGTTCGCCTCCTAGCGACGGTAGTCCAATGGCGGCTCACGATCTCCTAACAAGGCTTCGTAAACAAAACCCTCCTCCCTGGCAAGCAGAAACTCAGCACGAGCGGCGGCTATGGTTTGCGGATCCTGCATGAGGTCCACAGCGGTCTTAGCCAGCAGCCGTGACGCCAGCAACATACCTTTGTGCCCGATGCTCATACCACCGGCTGCTACCGCCTGCCAGCTGTGCGCGGGTGTACCCGGCACCCAGGTTGCCGTATTGAAACCAACCGTTGGCACCAGCCAGCTCACATCACCGACGTCGGTGGAGCCCATGCTCTGACGCAACTGAAAAGCCTGTATCTGACTTTCAGAACCCAGCGGTAACGTGGGATTCATTAATGTAGTGTAAATCTCTTCAGCAAATTTCTGCTCCGCCGGGGTATAGCTGATGCCACCCATCTGACGGAGATTGTCATCGACCAGCTTCGCCAGCGTGTAATTTGGCAGCACCGGATAATTGCCGTGCATCACCTCTACATCCACCTCGGTTTCAGTGCCCATTGCGGCAGCGTCTGCTGCTTTCACAACCCGATTGAACAACTCAACCACTTTGACAGGGTCAGGGTGACGAACGTAGTAATAAACCTGCGCCCTTTCCGGAACAATATTGGGTGCATCGCCACCATCGGTGATGACGTAGTGGATACGGGAAGTTTGCGGAATATGCTCTCGCATCATATTGACCATGTAATTCATGGCCTCAACACCGTCCAGGGCTGAACGACCTTTATCTGGCGCGGAAGCCGCGTGCGCTGCGCGGCCGCTGAAAGTAAAACGGCCACTTTTATTCGACGTGGTTGAATACGGTGCGGCAGAGTTGGCGCTACCCGGATGCCAATGCAGCATAATATCCACATCATCAAACAGGCCTGCTCGCGCCAGATAAACTTTACCCGACCCACCTTCTTCGGCTGGCGTACCAAACACTTTTATCGTGCCGGGCTGTCCATCGGCTTCCAGCCATTGCGCAATGGCGACACCCGCGCTGGCTGACGCGGCACCAAAGAGGTGATGTCCACAGGCATGACCCGCCCCGCCTTCTTGAAGCGGTGATCTTGACGGCTGCGCAGCCTGACTAAGACCAGGCAGGGCATCAAATTCCGCCAGAATACCAATGGTTGGCCCGCCGCTACCAAAGCTGGCAACAAATGCGGTGGGTATGTCAGCAACGCCAGCATCTAGGGCGAATCCCGCTTTCTTCAGGTAGCCCTGCAGCGCCTGGCTGCTGTTCTGCTCCTGATAACCCAGCTCAGCAAGGTTCCAGATTTTGTCCGCCAGGGCGACACTCGCCTCGGCTTGAGCCATGACCTTGTCTTCAATTTCAGTCGACGCGAGGGACGCCTGTGAAAACAGACCGGACAATGTCAGGCAAAGTATCATTGTTTGACGATTGCTGAATTTCATCAACGGTATCTACCAAGAAATTTGTGTATAACGGGCGCTAGTCTAGCAGCTTTGTTTGTTCAGTTTAGGTTCAGGCAGTCACAGCGATGCTGGGCGTAACTGTACGTCTGCCGCTTGTGGACAACCGCCAGGAATAGACATGACCTACCCAGCCCAAAAAACGATATCCGCCTTTTTTTTTGTGATTGTGGGCTTTTTGTTCACATCTAATGCTGCAGCGTTACCCCATCAGGGTGTGCGTGTAGACAGTATCGCAGCGGTCTCTTCGGGCAGTACCTGGGAGGTGCTGGATTATCAGCACGTGGTTGTCACCCTGAATTCTCAGCAACGCTATCTCTTAACGCTGACTCACATGTGCCCGACACTGGCGGTTGCCGCCAAGCTGGGTATCAGCGCATCCGGCGACACCGTGTACGCAGGCTTTGACTACATTACCGCAGATGGTGAACGTTGTTTGATCAAGGGAATTTCGCGTTTACAGGCATAACCCCTATGTTTCATAGAAGCGCTTTTTCCATGGCATAGTTATGGATAGCCACCCCGCCCACTTCTAAATCACGCCGATGTTTCTCGACAAAACCACGGCGCAGAAAGAATCTGCGCGCGGCTTCGCTTGCCTCTGTAAAAAGCAGCGTCAACTGCTGCTGCCGGGCATGTGCTTCCATCTGCTCATAGAGACTCACCGCGATTCCAGTACCAGCTACAGCCGGTAAGGCATACAACATGTCAATATGACCATCGGATTCAAGATCAATGAACGCCATCACCTTATCCTCACCATCCACGGCCACCAAAGTCAGTCGTCCATCTGCATTCATCGCGGCGAACTGCTCAACGGTAGGTGCATTGGCCAGCCATGCCTCAACCTGTGCCGGTTGATAATCAGTGGGCGCAATTTCGATAATCGCGGCTCGAAAAACCTGTGCAATCGTCGGAGCATCAGCAGATTTATACGTTCGGATAATGAAATTCATGGGTCAACCTGAGCGTGCGCCTGCTCAATTATGCCTTGCCATCGGACAGGAAACAGGTTTGGAGGGCGGACAAACTAAGATAATATCAGGTGAAGTTAAGTCTGGAGGGTGGAATATGAACTGGCAGGAATACGAGATAGAAAGAGAACAGTTACTGGCGCACGCACAGGCCGATGCTGCCTCAATACCCCTTGAAGATATCGACGTCGGTCATTGGGACATCATGCGCAACGACACCATTTGGCCCTACTTCCAACGCCTGCGCCAGGAGGCGCCGGTGTATCACCATAAAAAAAGCATCGTCGGACCTTTCTGGTCAGTGACCAACTACGAAATGATCAAAGCGGTAGATACTGATGCCGCTCAATTCTCCTCAGAGCCGACCATTGGACTCAATGAGGTCAGCGAAGAAGACAGCGCTTCAAGTTTCATTTCCATGGACGACCCTCAACACGCAGTGCAGCGTAAAGCGGTCGCTCCGGTGGCAGGCCCGCGTAATCTGGCCGCACTGGAACCACTGATACGCGAGCGAGTAGTCGGCATTCTCGATAGCCTGCCCATAGGTGAAACATTTAACTGGGTCGACAAGGTCTCTATTGAGTTAACCACCCAGATGCTGGCCACACTGTTCGACTTCCCTTTTGAAGATCGCTATAAACTGACGCGCTGGTCAGACATCGCTACCTCGCCGCGAAAAGCTGGCCTATGGGATACATTGGAGGAGCGTCAGCAGGAACTCAACGAATGTCTTCAGTACATGACGCGACTGAGAAATGAGCGCGCTGACAACCCTGAAGGTCACGACCTGCTAACTATGCTGGCACACAACGACGGCACAAAAAACATGCCGCCTGCAGAGTTTCTCGGCAACCTTCTGCTGCTTATTGTTGGCGGTAACGACACAACGCGTAATTCGATTTCCGGCGGCGTGCTCGCTATGAACAGATTTCCAGAAGAATTCGAAAAACTGAAAAAAGATCCTGCAAAAATCCCCAATGCGGTAGCAGAGATCATCCGCTGGCAGACGCCACTGGCGTTTATGCGACGCACCACAACCACAGACGTAGAAATCAACGGCACGGTCATCCCGAAAGGTGAACGGGTGCTGATGTGGTATGCCTCAGGTAATCGAGATGAAGCCGTGTTTGAAGACCCGGACAATCTCAACGTTGACCGTTCCAATGCACGACAGCACCTGTCGTTTGGCTTCGGGGTGCATCGTTGTATGGGCAATCGTGTGGCAGAGCTTCAACTCAGGCTGTTGTGGGAAGAGATGTTACAGCGGTACAGCAGAATCGAAGTTGTCGGCGCACCCGTGCGCGCGATTTCGAATTTTGTGCGTGGCTACACTGAGTTACCGGTGAAACTGCACACCTGATTGCCCGCATCCACACGATGATTAACTAAGGCACTGATATGACTTTCAATTCACTTGCTGAGCTAACTCGCACGCATCGTGCCAGCACCCCGGATAAAACCGCACTGCTTTATACTGCTGACGATCGACGCTGGACTTACTCCGAGCTCGACAGGGAAGCTTGTCAGGTGGCCAACGCCCTGCAAGCCATGGGCATCAAAGCCCAGGATCGAGTGGCTTATCTGGACAAGAACGCACCAGAGTATTTCACGCTGTTTTTTGGTGGCACCAAGTTGAACGCAGTGTCTGTTGCTGTGAACTGGCGTCTGGCAGCGCCTGAAATGGAATACATACTGAACAACAGTGAGGCGAAGGTGCTGGTGATTGGTGAAGCGTTTCTCGAACACCTGTCCCAAATGGAACTGCAGCTGGGTGATAACGTGATTGTTATCGGCGATGCCGGCAACACCGGTTATCCAACGTTTGAGCAATGGATTGCCCGGCAATCAGAACAAGACCCGAGTGCACCCATCAGTGCAGACGACACCTGCTATCAACTCTACACGAGTGGCACTACCGGCTTACCCAAAGGTGTCGAAATCACCAATCGCAACATGCTGCATATGCTGGAGCAAACTTTAGCAGGACCGCTCGCGATGACGTCCGCCGCTGTCAATCTTGTTTGTATGCCACTGTTTCACGTATCCGGCAGCGGCTGGGCTCTGGGCGGTGTGTACGCTGGCGCCGAATCCATTCTTTTGCGCGACGTAGAACTGCAGGAAATTCTGCAGGTCATGCAGAACCATCGCATCACGCATTCAGTGTTTGTGCCGGCGGTTCTACAGTTTCTGCTGGCTCAGCCCAACATCAAAGATTTTGATTTTTCAGCACTGCAGGCCATCGTTTACGGCGCCAGCCCAATCACCGAAGAAGTATTAGTGGGCGCCATCAAAACCTTCGGCGCTGATTTTTTTCAGGTTTACGGCTTAACCGAAACCACCGCGGGCATCACTCAACTCATCCCGGAAGACCATGATCCAGGTGGTCCCCGCGCGCACCTGTTACGCTCCTGCGGGAAAGCGGTGGAGAACCACGAAATCAAAATTGTCGATCGGGAAACAGGTGAGGTGCTCGGCGACAATGAGGTTGGAGAAATCTGGATCCGGGGGCCACAGGTCATGAAAGGCTATTGGAATAACCCCGAAGCGACCCAGGAAAGCATCACCACAGATGGATGGTTCAAATCTGGTGATGCCGGCTATCTGGCTGACGGATATCTGTTTATTCACGACCGTGTGAAAGACATGATTATCTCAGGCGGCGAGAACATCTATCCCGCAGAGATCGAAAATGTCTTAATGGCACATCCAGACATTGCCGATGCGGCGGTCATCGGGATTCCCAGCGATCGTTGGGGTGAATCCGTCAAAGCCGTTATCACGCGTGCAAATGACTCGCTCAGCGAGGAAGACATCTTCTCTTACTGCCGCCAGAACCTGGCCCACTATAAGTGCCCCACCAGCGTTGACTGGATGGATGTAATACCACGCAACCCGTCGGGTAAAGTTTTAAAAACCGAGTTGCGCAAACCCTACTGGCAGGGCCGTGAGAGAAATGTGTCCTGATGGATTATGCGTTTATAACAGGTGATTAGAGTCTGTCGGGTTCAAGGCGTGCTTTTCCACCATGTAGAAAGCAGGTCTTGGTGAATAGCGTCTGATCCAGTAACTGCAGATAATCCACCACAACAAAAATTCAGGATCCGAGTTTGTTTCATTATCCCTCGTTAAAATAATCCCTGTACAACAGCCCAACTGCTTATTCGCTTCGCCACCACCTCGGGCGACAGGCCTGAATTATCGATCAGGATATGAGGGAGGGGCAGAGGCAGCTGACCGCCGCTGTTCAATTGGTGATGGGTTTCATTGTGGTGTCGGCGTGCTTCTGAGGCTTGCACATCGGCTTTACTGGGTTTTGCTGCTAATCTTTCCGGGGCTGTATTGCGGGCTTTCTTTACTGCCTCGTCTGCACACAACTCAACCACCACCACCTTACCTTCGGTGGCTTCGTGCCAGTTCTTAACCAACCTTGCAACGGCTGCGGTATCTGCTTCAAGATCAAAAGCCCAAACCGCAGTCATGATTAGACCCGCGTGATCACTGTTTGCCACAGCCTGCACGATTGAGTCTTTGAGGGTGTTGTTGAGGTTGTCGAAACCGGGCGCGCCAAAGTCAAAAAACTTCAGCGCTAACTCGATGGACAGATGATTGTGCAGCAGCGGAAAAGCCGTGGCTGACGCCAGCGCCTGACCAACCGTCATTTTACCAACCGCGGGTGGCCCCACGATCAGCACCAGTGGTTTCACACACTACCCTTAAAATTAGGTGGGCAGAAAGTGTACCGGATAACGGATGGTTGTGCGTTTCACGTCACGCTCACCAAAATTGAACAGACGGATGCGATTGACAATTTTGTCGATCATCAATTGATCCGCAATCTCAGATGCCACCACCTTACATTCAATGACAGCGCCGTTGGGGTCAATGACCAGTTCCAGAACCACTTCACCCTGGAGTGCCGGATTGGAACGCAGGGTTCTATTGTAAATAGCAAAGATCGCACCTTTGTTGGTATCAAAAACACGCCGGATCTCTTCGATGCTGCGACTGCGAGGGTCAGCCACCTGCTGCTTACGGACGCCGCCAGTGCCGGCAACGTTCTCAGGCGCATCGACCTTAGTGGTTTGCCGACCAGACAGAGCTACGCCGCCGGTTTCACGAGACAGGGCAGCCACGTTAACACCAGAACTTCGAGTACTGTGTTTGGAGGTCAGCAGGTTGCGGTCTATGGTTGCGGCCTCACCAGAGCCTCTTTGGATGGAGGCTGTGTCTTGTAACTTGTCAACATCAACAGCTTCGCGCATGTCTGCAAACGCATCTTTGAACGCCAGCAAGCCCGATACGGATGCCTTTTCCTTCGCATCAGCTACTTTAGGCTCCACCTTTGGTTTCACAACCTCTTCTTTAGCAACCTCTTTAGGCACCTCAGGCTTAACTTCTTCAACTTCTTTTGGCGGCGGCGGTGGTGGCGGCTTAGGTTTCGGTTGTTCCATAACAATCCGCGCCAATTGGGGAGGCAACGCTTCCAGTTCTTCCCGCTCCACTTCAGGTAGCGTCAGAAAGGGCATCGGCAGGCCAACCACCAGCAATACACCAAGACAGATCACCATCCAGGATTTCAGTACCTTGCGGTCTGATCGCTGGTTATCCCAGGGCAGATCAAAGTCATGCACTTTAGCCATCATTGTGCTCATGACGCTGCTCCCTGGCTGACTTCAGTGGTTGCAGCTGACAGTTCTTCTATACTGGCTTCGCCACCGACTTTATTAACCGCCAGACTGACTCGGGCAAAATCCGCAGTCTGACAAGTCATCAGAATTTTTTTCAACAACCAGTAGGGAAGCTCTTTGTCGCCTATGACAGTAATTTCGAAACCGCCTTCCGGAATTTCACCGCGTCGGGTCGCCTGATACTCAAGCTCCGACTGCAGACCCGCAATCATCAGATCTTCGGTACCAAAAAGGTCAGCCACTTTCGCCACAGACCGCCCTTGCACTACCAGATCTTCTTCATCTACAGAAATCATCAGCTGATTCTTCGGTTGTTTTTCCGAAGAAGAATCCGGCAGTTTGATTTTGGAACTGGTCTGCAGCACTTCCACTTCTGAAGAGTTCACCATCAGGAAGAAAACCAGAATCGTGAAGATATCCATCAGCGAGACCAGATTCAGACCCGCTGTTTTGCCTTTTCTGCTTTGCCGCGATCGTCGGCGCTGGGTATGGCCACTCACGACTGATCTCCTGTGGATGGCTTCGCTGCGACAGCAACGGACTGTTCGCCTGCCGGTGTATCACCCAGAGAAATCACTGGAAAAAGTTCTGCCTGAACCACGTCTAAGGCCTGCACAGCCGGGTACGAACGCACCTTGTCCATCACCGAGACCAAAGTCTGATAGCTGGTGTCTTCCTGCAGCAGAACCGTTATGTCTTCTTTTTCCGGCATGCGGCGCTTGAGCTCCTGCATAACCAGAGACAGTTCTGCGAAGTTATGTTCACCGTCAACTGCCGGCACCTGTTTGATAACCCCACCTCGACCATCGGCCACCACCAGACGATCCGCATAAACGGCCACTTCCAGATGTACCGCCTCAGGATCAAACTCACCAGATGCAGCTTGGCCAGTGGGGAAATTCAGGTCGATGACCGTGGTATGGGTAAACACCATCGACAGCAGCAGTACCGGTACCAGCACGATCATGAGATTCATGAACGGCGTGACATCCAGGTCAGCAGCTTCAGTATGTTTAAGTCGTCTGAGACGAACGCGATCCATGCTCACTTTGGAATATCCTCTGTGTTGTTCGCTTTACTTGGCTACTGCCGCTTTCGCGCCTACTTTGCCAGTGACTTTAGCTGCTGCATCGGCATGGCCTTCCAGCAGATTCACGAACTTCACTACCGCAATCTCTAACGACTCAACAATCGCGCTGGTCTTGCTCTGCAGCATGGAGTGAATCAACAGCAGTGGGATAGCCGCCATCAAACCAAACGCGGTGGTATTCATCGCAATCGAAATACTCTGTGACAGGAGCGTTGCTTTTTCGGCCGGGTCAGCATTGGCAACCGCGGTAAACGCAGCAATAAGACCAATAATCGTACCGAGCAGGCCAAGCAGTGTTGCAATGTTTGCAAACGTTGCGAGGTACGGTGTCCGACGCTCAATATTCGGCAGCGCTTCCAACAGACCTTCTTCCATCGCCGATTCGATATCCTGACGACGTCGCAAATCGTTTGACGTGCTCTGTTTGTTAACACCATCTGCAACTATTCGAGCCATTGGCGACTTGGACTTTTTGGTCAGGTCAACAATTTCACGAACACGACGCTGCTTTAACAACGGCAGTAACGCGTTGTAATCTTTACGATTAATCCGCATCTGCTGCGCAAGATAAAAATATCGTTCAAGTGCTATCGCCACACCAATGGCTAATACCACGGCGATGGGATACATGAACGGGCCTCCTTCCTGGAAGAAACCCACAAAGGTTGCGTACATATCCATTTCTACTTCTCCTGATCTGGATTTTCTTTCAATCCCGACAACGTATCGAAGTAGCCAAGCTCTCTTCGATACGCTGGTGGGTACAAACGCCGAAACACCTCAGCTTCGGTAAATTCCGCCTGTATCTCGATATCTGGCAAACCCTGTGGTTCACGCCAGGGTAAGATATAAAGCACTTTGGGTAATTCTTGGTTGCCGGAGATCACGGTTTCGTCAAGTTGCAGGAAACCACCTGCAGATTGTGCTACCTGGGACGTACTTTCGGCATTTTTTGCCACATCTTGCGCAGCTCCTTGCGCCACTTCTTCACCCACCGCAGAAGCAGCTGAAAACGCGATCAGCGAGGTCATCAGAATGGTTTTTAAGCGCAACAATGCCATTGGTTTTCTCCACTATCGCCTGGCGATGGCCGCAACGCGGCGTTCTAAATCCATCACCCATCCAGCCACCTGCTGGTTCGGACTGGGCAACATGACCTGGTAATCGTTGTAGGCAGCAAGCGCTTCCGGCAATCGACCCATGTAAAGTTCATACAGGATGCCCAGATTCAGATACGCGTTTGCATAAGCTGGATTGGCCTCGATACAACGCTGGTAATACTGCTGCGCCAGAGGGAACTCACCCTGTTTGCGCGCCATGACGCCAAGTTGGGTAAGCGCATCACAATTAGCGGGGTTCGCCTGCAAAGCTAACTCAAAGGAATGTCGCGCCTGTGCTTCATCATTCTGCGCAAGGGCTATGTGACCAAGGTTGACCCAGGGACCGGCAAGTTCTGGTTGAGACTCTGCCAGTTCCTGGAACAAAACCTGCGCTGCACTGAGGTTATTGTCTTTAAGCAACTCCACGCCGCGTTCAAATAACGCCTGACTACCTGCATGCAGAGGTGGCGTGGGCACCGGGGGTGCAACCAGATCAGCCTCACCATCCTGCCCATCAAGCTGAGTGGACGCTGAGCTTGCAGACGATGTTGGCGCATCCTGTTTTATGTCACCCTTGAAAGGCAAAGGCATACTCGCACAGGCGCTTAACATAAAACAGAACGCTAACAGGCCAATTCTAGTGGATTGCATTGGCATACCTCACTTCACTTTCCTGCTTGTTAAACCGGCCCGGCATCAGCCGTATCAGCTCAGCAAATGATTTTTTAACGGCGTCGTCATAAGTACCGTTCCAGGCACGACGCATATTGATTTCGTGCAGCTCAATGGCCTGCTCTTCAAACGGAAAGGCCTGCTCTTCCAGAAGAATTTCATACTGATCCAACTCAAGGGCAGAAAGATCTTCAGGCCGATCTGACGTCATGATCGATTTTGATAACGCCGAATAGAGATCTGCAATTTCAAACGTTGACGCGGTGGTAAACGCTTCAACTTCATAACCGGCAACCCGTTCGTAGGCCTTCAAGGTCTGCTTCAATGCTTTTTGCTTACGCTTGAGACTACGATTCAGTGGATGTGTCAGACGAATCGCCTGGTAGGCCAGCCGTTCATCATTGGCAAAGACCATTTGCGCATCAGCGGCCAGATAGGTTGCGCGCTCGGTAGCCTCGCCACCCATTTCCCGGTGCAGTTTGATTTTCTGATCCAGCCAGTAGCGCTGCTTTTCGCCGTCACCCACACGCTGGTAGAGCTCATCCATGTTGTGAATGGCTTCCAGGCGCAAGTCATAGGGCTTTTTATAGGTATGTGCGTATTCACGGAAATATTCGATAGCTGCGTTAACGTCATCCTGCTGCAGGTAAATTTCTGCTGCGCGATAGAGCGACTGTCGTCGCACTTCGACATCATCAGCGGAGGTTGCAAGACCCGCGTATTCAACCGCCGCAGCTGACCAATTCTGCGTCTGCTCGTACATACCGGCCAAACGCATATCGATGCCCTTGCCCAGTTCATGATCGGGATAAAGGCTGCGAAACTCAGCCAGCATCGCTACCGCGTCCGGTATACGACCGGCGGATTCAACAACAGCAATGGCATCGAAGTGGCCTTGAGCCGCGAGCGCTGCAGCAGGATCGATTTGCGCTATGCGCATGAAGTGATACACCGCTGTATCCACATCACCCGCCAGATCGCTGGCTTCACCCTGTTTATAAACAGCAGCCAGCAAACGCTCCGAAACTTTTGCGCGCTCTTCGCTGGACAGCTCAATGGCAAGCAACTTGTGATACGCCTCTTCTGCCGGTACAAATTGATCAAGCTCATACCGTCCATGACCAATAATCAGCAAGGCTGTTTTTTTCAGTTCAGGCTCAACGTCAGGCCACTCGAGCAGAAGATTTTCCGCCAGATCTAACGCTTCCGTTGTGTGTCCAAGGGTAAACAACGTATCTGCTGCATCTGTCTGCACTGCTGGTGCGCGGTTGTCACCTGGGAAGATCAGCGCAAATTCAATCTGCGCATCAATTTTGAGCCGTTGCCACAATTCCAATTCGTCCGCACTGGCCGTCGAAACCAGCTCCGTCAGACCCAGAATTGCGGCATAGCCTGCTTCATGGGCATCCGGGTAATCAGGAAAATCACGCACCACGCGCTGGTAAGCGGCAACTGCACGCCCTGGTTCAGCGGCTTCGGTATACGATTCGCCCAACAGGAACAGATACTCGGCGGTACGAGGGTCCTGTGGGAACGTCACAATAATTTCTTCGTACCAGCCAGCCGCCTCCAGATACAGTGTTGTACGCTGAGCTGTAGCGTTCTTTACGGGCTGTTTGGCTGCCTGCTGGGCCAGATCAAATGCCTGGGCGTCCGCGTGTGCCAATTTGGCAATTTCAGACAGGTAGCCATGCAGGGTGGGCAGATATTCGGCGCGCACCTCTTCGCTGTGATGTGACCAGAACTGCGAGTAAACGCCATAACGCAGGATGAATTCTTTTTTCTTCGGCAACACATCACTTGGGAACCCTGCGTCCATCAGCGTCTTGATCATGCCGGTATGTGCAGCTGGTGCGCGTCGATCCAGCGAATTGTGTTCAATGAACGTCTGCCAGGTGGCCACATTGTCGAGGAAACGTTCTTTGCCGAAATAGTCGTCGGCCAGGCGCTGGTATGCCAGATACTGCCAATCCGGACGTCCACGTTTACGCATCTCATCAGCCAGGGTCTGGGCACCATCAAGATAGGCCAGCCCCAGGGTGATGACACGAAACGAGTCTTCCAGCATTTCATTGTCAATCGCCGTAAGATCTGCCGCGTCACCCTCAGCTAACAAGTTATCAACCACATTGAAAAACTGATGCAGACCTTCATCGAAACGCGAACGTTTAAATTCAGACCAGCCCAACATGTAAGACGCATTCTGGAAATAAGGCGTGCTGTCGCCAAGCTCAACAACGTAACCATAGTCAGCTGCAGCGGCACGATAATCTTCGCTGGAGAATTTGATTTCAGCGCGGCGGAAACGGCCTTCAGGAACGTATTCGCTGCCAGGGTGTTCGGCTATCAATCGATCAAGATAAGTCAGGGTTTGAGTCTGTTCGCCTACCAGGTCATGCGCACGCGCAAGCTGGTAGAGAATCGCATCAATCTCGTCGGCTGCATCAGCTTGTGCCAGCAGCTTTTCATAAAGTTCAACTGCGGGGCGATATGGATCAGCGCCACCTTCTATATCGAGATCCTGGCCTACTTCCATATGCAGGTCGGCAAGCCGCTTACCTACAGCGTGATTCTCACCACTGGAAGGCAGCAAGCCATATACTCTGTTGTAGGCCGCCATGACTTCATCCCGGGTCGGCTTAATGGCCGCAACCGGCGCCAGCTCCAGAGCAGGCAGGGCGCTGATTCTGCTGCCCAGGGTTGGGCCTTTGGTTTTCACAACGCCAGGCTCATCGCCACCTATCAATCCAAAGGTCATCCAGCTGCAACCCTGCGCAGCCAGAGCAAAAGAAATCAGGCAGGCAACGTGAAGGTTTTTTGCAGTTATAGATTTCATTGTGGCAACCCACCGGGCTGGAGCCCACCGGTAGACGCCACAGCTAACTGATCAGTTGCCCGAGCGATCGCAATTCGGGTCACCAGTAAATACTGCTGTACCTGATCCATTTCCTGCTGCATCCGACCACGTATTTCATCAGCCAGGAGGCTTTCACGACTGGTTCTGGCCGCATTGACCATCTGCGTGATGTCCGCCGCTCGGTCTTGAAAAACCAGAAAATCGGTGCCAACCCCGGCCATGAAATTGCTTTCCGCACCCTCGACACGTTCGATACGGGCATCCACATCAGCCAGCACTGTCAGCAGATCTTTATGCGATTTACTCAGCGTTTGCAGACGCGCCGCCCGCTCATCCACCAGGCGATAGAACAAGACACCTTCCAGGCGGGCAATACGTGCATTCCACTTGACACGATCTTTGTCGCTCATGTGTACCAGCAGTTGGCGCATGCCATCTAACTCTGTCAGCAGCTCTCTTTCATCCGGGTTCGCCAGGGGCATCATCCAAGCCAAATCCGGCATCGGCGTTGCAGCGCGTAGTGCACTTAACTCAGATTGCGCAGTATTCACACGAGCCTGCAGAGCTTCGCGTTTTGCCAACAAGCCTTCATCCTGCAACATGACCTGGGCCTGTTCGCCCCGGCGGCGCTGCTCAGCGGCGACCCGCTCCAGAGCATCAAGCTTTTCAGGAAGCGCACCTACCCAGGTTTCCATTTCATTGAGCGCACGCCACTGGGTGAGCGCCTGATTAATTTTGTCAGTGGCTAACCACTCAAGCCAATCCGTATGACCCAGCTGATCCTGCCATTTCTGCATCAGCAGCTGCATCTGCTCATCGTCTTGATCATCGTTAGCAAACACTTCCAGCAGGCTTTGCACCCACTGCGGATCTTCTGCTTCTGCTGACAGCCGCGTCAGGTCGTTCAGACGAGACATAAAACTTGCTTCAGCGCGCTGAAACTGCACCAGTGCAAGCTCCGTAGAGGCGCGCTGTTCACCCGCAAGCTTCTCCAGACTGAGTGGGAACCCGAGTCGAGCGGTTGCCGTACTGGGCGTCCAGTAGTCCTGCTCCTGCAGGGTCATCCAGATGCGCGCGGCTAATTCATAATCCTGGTTATCCATCGCCAGACCACCGTAGGCAGCCATAGCAACTTCCTGATAGCGCCCTTCACCCGGCAGAGCGCTGAGCACGGTTTCGGCACTCTGTGTGTCTTTCTGCTGGCGCGCGATAAGTGCCAGCGCCAGCTTCGCCCGTTGGCTGAGGTCATACGCCTCATCGCTGTAGGCAGGTAACGACGCAAGAGTCTGGAAGGTCTGCTGAGATTGAGGCAGCTGATCTGCCAGACGATAGGCAACGCCCAGGTTAAAAAGCCCATACGCGCGCAGCGGGTGGGTTTCTTCCATCAGATTAAAGTGTTGCGCAGCTTTGTCATATTCACCCAGATGCACCGCGTACTCACCGCGCATGTACTCCACTTCAGGGTGCAACTTCTGTTTTCCGAACCAGCTTTTACCCAGCTCTATATTCGCCAGCTGAGGGCCCAGAGCGTTCCAATCCTGCCGTCGGTGATATTCGCGAGCCAGGTGAAAAGATAAGCGCATCTGATCTAACGGCTCTATTTCGCCTTCAGGAATCGCGGCAAATGTCTGATTAGCGTAGTCGTACATGCCATCTGCAAATGCAAAACTACCCGCAGCCAGGTCAAATTGAGTTTGTTTCTCGCCTCTTCGCCCCTGCTGTTGTGCAACCAGTGCAGTTAACAGCGCAGCCTGATGATCTTCCTGGAAATACTCGTAGAGCAATGTGCCATAAGTCAGATCTTCAATAGGCGGCGTTCCAGCGCCAGCCAGAGCGCAGGTAAAAAGGAGTTCGCATAGAAATTGTTTCACTGCGGTATATCGCCTTTATTCGGTAGCGCTAATCACGCAAACCCAGCTAGTTGCTGACATCCGCAACAAAGTCAGGTTGGAAATCTGCAGTTTCATCGGAAATTGCCAGAGCAATAAAAGTCGGCTCGAATCCTTTTTCAAACTCCACGGTGGTGGCACGCCGGAAATCGCGCCCGTTGGGACCGCGACCGGTGAAAAAAGCGGTGACGCGATTTTCGCCCTGCTTCACGTTGCCTACGTAGAGTTTCTGCACACCACCACGAAACAGCGCATCTACCTGCTTCTCGGTGTACAAATGATGAGTCACTTCTTTGTTGTTGAGCTTCAAGGTCACAGCGTCGAGTTCAAAGAACTCGCCCACATCCATGGACAGGAACACTGACACCTGTGAACTGGCTGGAAAGAGCAGGTCTTCTTCAAGAATCACAAGATCCCGTTTGAGCTCCACCAGCGCTTTTTTGACATCTTCCATCTCAACGTCTAACGCTGCAGATTTAGTGTCTTCGGCCCAGACCAGAGCGCACCCAAACAACAGCAGAGCGGCGCCTATCGACTTAGCTATCCCTGTCATGCCAAAACCTCGTATCGAAAATTACTCGCGGATGAGTTTCTTAACCACTTCCACATATTTAGCTTCATCACCGGGCTTGTAACCTCGGTGGATGTAGCGAACAACGCCATCCCGATCCACCACTACAGTGCTCGGCATCGCCTCTAAATCGTATAGTTCGCTGACCGCCTGACCTTCGTCGATCAGCACAGGGAAAGTCACCTTGGTTTTATCAACCAGTTTCTGTGCAGGCTCTTCTTCGCCTTCTACATTAATGCCCCAGACTGCAAAACCGGTATCTTCATAGCGCTCATGCAGACGGTCCAGAATGGGCATCTCCTGACGACAGGGGCCACACCAGCTCGCCCAGAAGTTGATCAACAGAACTTCACCGCGGTGCTCTTCAAGACGTAAATTTGAGCCTTCCAGCGTTTTCAACGTGAAATCCGGTGCGTTTTCAGAAATCGGAACGTTTGCAGCCAGAGCGTGACTACTGAACAACCCTGTGCCAATCAGGAACACGCCTGCTACAGCAGACAGTTGGCCAGCTTGTTTGGCGACTGTTGAAATGAAACCGCTCAATGTGGTTTTCCTGTTGGTCATCGTTCCTCCCGACCTTAAGTTGCAAACTTTTGCAGGACATGACCCGCAGATGTTGTTTCATGTACAAATTGCAGTATCGCCGTCGAAGATTTTCCAGAGAGGTTGTTGAATCTGCGTCCTGTAATGCGCAACCCAGCCAACCCTCAGGTTTTTAACCTGACCCTGTCATCCTGACAGGCCCGCTTCCATGCGGTTTCTCTTCTTCGAACTACCGGCAGCTACTGCCTGTGGCTTCCAGCCACCTCACGCAACTCATCATGGGTTGCGATCAAAACGGGCCAATCCGTGGCCTGCTCCTCTTAAGTAACCGAGACCCGCCGACTGCTCGAGGCGCCACGTGATCGCACATCGACAGCGGATCTCGGCCGCTACTGTTGGGAACTACCCCCAAAAACTCATTCTTCAGCGATATCTCATCGCAGATGTCTCATCGCAGATGTCTCATCGCAGACTTCACGACGAATAACCGCACGTTACTTGTGCATGGGAATCCAGAAAGAGGCCTGAGTCACAGTTTGCAATGTGCCGCGGGTGCGACAGGGGATAAGGTCGGTCAAATGAGAACACCATCAAAACTGATGGTGAAAAGCGACTCTACTCGGGAGGCAATTCCATAAGATCCGCGGAGAACAGCAGCTGACCCTGGGGATCTATGATGATGGCGTCAATGCCGGGCAATCTATCTATGAGGGCTAAACCACGTTCCGGACCCAACACAAAAACACTGGTGGACAGCGCATCGGTAAAGGTCGCGTCAGGGCCTAGAATAGTGACACTCCAGGCGCCCGTGGCAGAGCGACCTGTGTTGGGATCGAGGATGTGGTGATAGCGCACGCCATCTTCTTCAAAGTAGCGTTCGTAATCGCCGGATGTTGACACTGCTGTGTCTACCAGCGGCAGCACAGCAGACATTTTGTCTTGCGCACGCGGGTGCTGAATGCCAACACTCCAGGGCTGACCGAGCCGGTCGCCAACAATGCGGCTGTCACCACCGGCAGAGACGCTGGCGTGGGCAACCCCGGCCTCCTGCAGGAGCGCAATCCCCCGATCAACCGCATAACCTTTGGCTATACCCCCAAGGGCAACATACACCTCTGGCCGACTGTAACGCACTCGTCGGCTTTGCGGATCCTGTTCAACATATCGATAGTTGATGCCCTGAACCGCCTTAGCAACCACTTCAGCATCCGGCGCTTTCGCTTCACGATAGTCGTAATATCGACCAACAGATGCATAGGTGACATCAAAAGCGCCCCCAGTAAGCTTGGAAACCTGATGCGCCTTACTCAATAACTCGAAGAGTTCTTCCGATACCTCAGTCCAGCCGTCAGGTGCCTCTCGATTCAGGCGCGACAATTCGCTGGATGCTTTGTAAGAGCTGAACTTTGCATCGATACGACGCATTTCATCCATCACCTGGGTAAGCAGTTGCGGGCCATCGCGTCTGTCAGGCAGGTAGAACTCGACGTGCACACGGGTACCCATGATGGCTTGAGTGTCCTGATACCACTGGGCATGGGCAAACCCTGTGATCAGCAACAGATACAATCCAGCAGATAACCCGAAAATCCTTTTCATGGGTGCAGTTTAGACGCCGGGCGCCCCAACAAACGCGGCTAAGCGCACAATTGCGCCGCTAAAGAGGAAATTGCAACGCCACGACGGGCCTGGCGGATAGAATTACGGTCATGTCCGGGCGTCACATACGCCAAAGACAAGCCGCTTGCCGGGTCGACCCAGGCTAACTGACCACCGGCGCCATTATGGCCAAAGGCCTCAGGCGAATTGGTTTTACCAAAACCTCGATAAGAGCGCGAATCATCGCCGCTGATGATGATCCCCAGGCCGCGGTTGGCCAACTTATTGAACATCATATCGGTCAGATCGCCGGTGCGGACGGTGCGTACCGAGGCCATCGTCGCGGGCGTCCACAATTCCACCCCATCCAGACCTCCGTGCAGCAAAGCCTGGTAAAACAGTGCGAGATCTGCTGCGGTGGCGTAACCGCCACCGCCAGGTACACCCACCTCACGAACAGCTGCGGTGTTGAAATTCAGGATGGCATCTTCGGTGACCTCCGAGTCCGGCGGTACAGGCATGCCCATTTTCTGGTAGTCCTCCGGGGTCAGCGCATCGCCACTGTGCACACAATCCAGTGCACGATGGTGATGTTCAGCTGGCAGACCCACAAAGAGATTGTTGAGCTGCAACGGATCGAGCACTTTACTGCGCACAAATTCTGTAAAACCCAGACCCGAGCGGCGCTCGATAATTTCCGCTATCACCCACATGGACGACGAAGGATGGTATTCAAACTTCGATCCGGGTGGCCAGGTCAGACGCCATTGCGCAAACCGACCATATCGCTCTTCTTTATTGTTCCATTGAACGGGTTTAAACGGTGCGTGAGGGAAGCCGGCGGTGTGGGTAAACAACTGCCCCACCGTGACCGCATCTTTACCGTGGGTATTGAACTCCGGAATGATGTCAACAACACGCTCGTCTTCTTCCAGGTTACCGGCTTGAAACAACAACCACGCTGCAGCCGAGGTGATGGCCTTGGTTGCGGAAAATATGGGTGTCAGCGACTCAGCCTGCGCGTCACCATAGCTTTCAAACACACCTACTTTACCATCACGGGCAATGGCAACCTGAGCAGCGGGCAATAACCCTTCTTCTACTTCCTGCCTCACTCGGGCGAGAAAAGCCGTCACTTTCTGTGCATCTAATCCAATCGATTGTGCATCTGATATTCGGTGGGCGGGCATACGGACCTCTCTTTTTTGGGAACGGACGGGGGCTAAAAACGATGACGCTAAGCGTACCGAGCAGCGCCCACAGAAGCGAGCCCCGGAAAAACACAAATGCCGGACCAGCAGGTGAGAATTAGGCTGAGATTGCCTAGAATCAACCTGCATTTTTTCAGGTTTGATCTATGAACATATTGTCCGGGCTTGCCGAGTCTATCGGCAACACGCCGCTGATTCGTATTGACAGCTTATCCGCGGAAACCGGTTGCGAGATTCTTGGTAAAGCTGAATTCATGAATCCGGGAGGCTCGGTTAAAGACCGTGCCGCACTCTGGATGGTTCGGGAAGCTGAGCGCAGCGGAGCCTTGCAGCCTGGTGGCACAGTGGTGGAAGGTACTGCTGGCAACACCGGTATTGGTCTTGTTCACGTCTGCAACAGCCGTGGCTACGACACCGTGATCTACATGCCCGACAATCAATCTGACGAAAAGGTCAACATCCTGCGGACGCTGGGCGCTGAAGTCCGTGTCGTGCCCACCGTGCCCTACGCCGATGATAATAACTTTCAGAAGCAGGCTGGGCGTTACGCGCAGACGCTGGACAACGCGGTGTGGGCCAACCAATTCGACAATGTTGCCAACCGACAGGCGCATATGGAGTCAACTGGACCTGAAATCTGGACACAGACTGATGGCAAACTTGATGCCTTTACCTGCGCTGTGGGTACCGGAGGCACTCTGGCGGGCGTTTCACGGTATCTGAAAGCACAATCTGAAGACGTGCAGATCTGGCTCACCGACCCGCATGGCAGCGCGCTGTACAACTGGGTGAAAACAGGCACGGCAACGATGACACCTGGGCCTTCAATCACCGAAGGTATCGGCAACTCACGTATCACCGACAATCTGGCCGGCACTCCCATCGACGACGCAGTGCAGGTACCCGACCAGGACATGGTCGACATGGTGTATCGCATGCTGGAAGAAGATGGCTGGTTTTTTGGCTCCAGCACCGGTATCAACCTGTGCGGAGCCGTTGAAGTGGCCAGACGTCTTGGCCCGGGCCATAGAATCGCAACGATACTGTGTGACGATGGCAGCAAATATATGTCACGCCTGTTCAACCCGGAATTTCTGGCCGAAAAAGGCCTGACACGACATTCACAATCCTGAGAGCATCTATGCAGATTCACGCCGCGCCGTTAACAAAGCTTGTCACCGAAATATTTGTCACCGCCGGAGCAAGCTCTGCCGATGCCCGTGAAGTGGCCTCCCATCTGGTTGAGGCCAACCTGAAAGGTCACGACAGTCATGGCATCGGTATGACACCCGCCTACATAGGCAATATAAAAGCCGACCTGCTGAAGGTGGGTGCCCAGGCTAATGTGATCAAAGACAGCGGCGCGGTAATGGTCATCGATGGTCAGTTCGGCTTTGGCCAGGTGGTCGGGCGCCAGGCGACTGACATGGCCATTGAACGGGTTAAAACCACCGGCGTTGTCTGTGCAGGTGTACGCAACTGCCACCATCTGGGACGTATTGGCACCTACGCTGAACACTGCGCGGCAGCCGGTTTAGTCTCGATTCATTTTGTTAACGTTGTGGGACACGCTCCGCAGGTATCACCCTATGGTGGGCGCGATCGGCGCATGACCACCAATCCATTCACCTGCGCGGTACCCCGCCACAATGCCCCGCCGGTGGTACTGGACATGGCCACCTCAGCGGTAGCGTTAGGTAAAGTCCGGGTGGCTTACAACGCGGGTAACGAAGTGCCTGCTGGGGCGCTGGTCGACCATGAAGGCGCCCCCACCACCAACCCAGCGGTTATGTATGAAGAACCCTTTGGAGCGCTTGGACCGTTCGGGCAGCATAAAGGGTATGGCCTTGCTGTGATGTGTGAACTCCTCGGCGGCGCACTGGCCGGTGAGTGGACCGCACAACCTGAAAATCACCGCAGTCACCATATCGTCAACCATATGTTCATGTGTGTCATGGACCCCGAGGCGTTTGGCGGCCTGGACAAATTCAATCATGAAGTGGATGCCATGGTGGACTATCTGCACAGCACCACCCCCGCTAAAGGTTTTGACAAAGTTCGTGTACCTGGCGAACCGGAACGTGAAAGCAAGGCCCTGCGCGAAGCGGAGGGTATTCCCATAGATGACACCACCTGGAATGGCCTGCTTAAAGCAGCCACAAGCGCGGGTCTGAGTGATGAGCAGATTGACGCGTTGATTAACGCCTGATGAAACAGGTTACCGCCTGCCTCATTGCCTGTTTATGCTTTGGCAGCTTGGCCGCTTTTGGCAATACCCCCAACGTATTGCTGATATACGTGGATGACCTGGGTTATGGCGACCTCGGGCACTATGGCCACCCTGTCATCAAGACGCCGCATATCGATCAACTCGCCGCCAGCGGCGTGACCCTGACCCAGTACTATGCGCCTTCACCACTGTGCTCCCCTTCCCGGGCAGCCCTGTTGACTGGACGCCATCCCTATCGCACCGGCATCAAAAGCTGGATACCCCACGGCAGCGACATCTTCCTGCAGGATGAGGAACTGACTCTCGCAGAGTTACTTAAAAAGAACGGTTACCAGACTGCGTTGATCGGCAAATGGCATTTGAATTCTGATTTAGGTGACACCACGCAACCGCAGCCCAATGATCAGGGTTTTGAGTATTTTTACGGCCACAACGCTTTTCAGATACCCACAAACAGAAATCCCACAAACATCTACCGCAATCGCAAAGCACTACCTGCGCAGATTGGATTCACAGCACAACTGTACGCAGACGAAACTATCTCGTGGCTTGACAAACATGCTGAAAAACCTTTTTTTCTCATGCTGAGCATGGCAGAGCCACACACCAGCATTGAAAACCCAGCCGAATACAACGATATGTATAAGGCTTACACCAGGGGACCCATCGTCCCCATCACTTCGGGCACAGCCGAGCCGCCAAAAGACAAACTCATCCCTCGAGGCCCAGGTGAGTATTATGCCAACGTTACTTATATGGATGCGCAGATTGGGCGCGTGCTTGCGTGGCTGCACGCACAACCCGACATAGAGCAGAACACCATTGTTGTGTTTGCCAGTGATAATGGACCCGTGACCAGCGACTGGATCAACTGGTGGGAAGTTAACGCCTACGGTAGCACAGGCGGATTCAGGGGCAGAAAACACTACCTTTACGAAGGTGGCATTCGGGTTCCGGCAATTATTCGCTACCCGGGCAGAATCCCCGCAGACAGCAGCGTCTCAACGCCCATGGTTGGCACGGATCTGTTCAGCACGTTACTCACCTGGCTCGATATCGCCTTACCAACGGACCGACCCATAGATGGCCAGAACATGAGCAGCACTTTACTGCAGAGACAAAACAACCCACCTGAACAGCTGCGCTCGTTTCTGTGGGCACTACCCTCTGAGTCACCACTTGAATACGCCATCAGGTCTGCCGACTGGAAACTGTTGCTTGATGCACAACAGCAACCGCGTGCTTTGTTTGATCTGGCAACTGACCCCTTAGAATTGTTCAACCTGATAGAGCAGCAACCGCAGCTGGCCATAAAATTGCACCAGCTCTTCCTGCAGGAACTGGCGGCTATCGAGTCAGACCCGTTACTTCAGCAGCAATCAATGAGCAGGGCTGACACCGTTCCGGGCAAATAGCGCAAACAACCGCTCCCAATGACGTTCTGCCGAAGCCTTTTCATAGATGCCTTCGCGCAGTGGAAAAACAAAGCCGTGCAGCGTGTCGGGATACCACTCCACTTCGTAGCGCATACCCGTGCCTGCCAGATAGTTATCTAACCCCTGCACCATCTCAGGTGGCGCCCACTCGTCAGTTTCCGCGCAGCCGAAATAAACCTCACCCTTGATTTTATCGGCATCCAGATGCGGCGAGTCTGACGCATCGCTGTAGAGACGGACACCATGAAAAGAAGCGCTGGCCGCAAGGCGTTCAGGAAAAGCGGCCGCAGCGGCAAACGCAAAGGGGCCACTCATGCAATAGCCAACACAACCCGCGGGGCCGTCAGCAGCATTTGCATCAACCGACGCAAAATCAAACAGCGCAGCAACGTCTTCACAAACCATGGCGTTACTCAGAGAATTCATGTGACCGAACATCTCTTCGCGTTTGTCCGGCGCCATCACAAACTCGCGGGCACGACGATAATAAAGGTTTGGCAACATCACGTAGTAGCCTACCGTTGCAATCCGTCGTGCCATGTCGTGCAGCTCTTCACGTTTACCCGGCGCATCCATTAAAAAGATAACAACCGGATGCGGACCATGTCGCTCTGGCGCGGTAATGAAGGTGTTCATCTGCCCGTCTGGGCGAGAGATATCTACGTGTAGTTCCTGCATCGCTTCAGGCCTCAGGTGTTACTGTCACGTGGATCCAAACGCAACAAGTAGCGAGGTGGAAATCCGGTAAGAATTCGAAATGCCGTTGGCAGACTGTGCTCTGCGTTTACCCGATCATATTCTGCACCAGACACTTCCACGGCCTGGTAAGGATTCTCTACATCATCAATGGTCACCGTCACAGCCGGATTGTCTAATATCTGGTTGTACCAGGCGCGAGGCCAGTGATTGACGGCGACATAAAGCTTGTCGTCACTTTCAAGCTTGGCAACCACCCGCGGCTTACGCTCGCCGCTGTCGTCTGTGGTGGTGATGATCATCATGCCTTCACCATAAGGCTGCGCAATACCCAGCCAGGTTTCAAACGCCACCACAATGCCAACGTACACCAGAAACAAAATACCGATAATCTTAAGTGCTTTCATGCTCAGTCCTCCCCTGATTGAAACCGTATAATGGCTTGGCCGTGCGACCGACACAATCATAATTGCCTTGCCAGCAGCACGCCGACTGTGGATTATTACCCCAACTTTTCGCTGATGAGGGAGGCGATATGGACGCTGACAAGCCAGTCGCTTATATGGAACGGACCCGCCGCTACTACGAAGCTCAGGGGTTCGAACGCGCCTATCAGTATGCGCACTATGACGACACACCATTTGTAACGCCGCAAAAACCGCTGTCTGAATGCAGGGTTGCTCTGATCACCACCGCCAGCCTCACCCATCGTCCGCCCTTAACCCCACGCAACGTCGTTTCAACAGACATCAAAGCTGTCCCGGAAACTTTGTTCACAGATGACCTTTCCTGGGACAAACAGGCTACACATACCGACGATCTGAACAGCTACTGCCCTCTGCAAACCCTGCAGAGCCTGCAGACCGAAGGTTACATTGGTGAATTGTGTAAGCGCCTGCACTGTGCACCCACTGAATACAGTCAGCGATCAACCCTGGAGAATGACGCACCAGACCTGTTGCAGCGTTTGCGGGAAGATGGCGCAGACGTCGCCCTGCTGGTGCCTTTGTGACCCGTTTGCCATCAGACCGTGAGTCTGATTGCACGCTTTCTTGAAGCCAGCGGCATACCCACCGTCATCATTGGCTCAGCCCAGGATATCGTCGAGTACTGCGGCGTGCCGCGCTATCTGCACGTGGATTTTCCGCTGGGTAATCCGTGCGGCAAACCCTGGGATCGGGATATGCAGGATCGCATTGTCAGGCAGGGATTAAGCCTGCTGCACAGTACGAGCGCACCAAACCACACAGTCTTGAGCTCAGAATCCTGGGGCTCCGATCAATGGCGCCAACAGTACATGGAAGTCAACGATGAGAATCGTGCAGAATTAGCCCGCAAGGGTGAACAACTTCGCATCGATCGTTCCCTACGAGAACGCCGAACAGTTTGATCCGTTTGCACCACTGGTAAAGCGCACCCTGCCTTAGTATTGTGGCACCCGCTGAAACCCAGCAAATGCAACCCTGCGCAAACAGCATGGTTGCGCAGGACTGCAAGATCGTGTGATAGAAAAGGATACCCAGGTTGCCCGGATCAGACCTTAAAAAAGCAGGCCTCAAAGTGACCCTGCCTCGCCTCAAAGTGCTGGAGGTGCTCGAACAGGCAGAGCCACACCATATGAGCGCCGAAGACGTTTATAAGAATCTGATGCAATCTGATGATGGCGTTGGCCTGGCCACTGTCTACCGGGTTCTGACGCAATTCGAAACCGCGGGCATCGTCGAACGGCATAATTTTGATGACGGCCATTCCGTGTACGAACTGGCTGACGACAAACACCACGACCATATGGTTGATATCGAAAACGGCGCGGTTATCGAATTTGTTAACGACCGCATCGAGGCCCTGCAGCATGAAATTGCTGAAGAGCACGGTTTTGAACTGGTCGATCACGAACTGGTTTTGTACGTTAAGAAAAAAGACAATGCCTAGCATTTAAAAAAGCAGATACCGGTTGGTCTGTTTTACGTAATCGCTGAATGTTTCACCGTGTATGCGCAGCAGATACGGCTCTTCAATTTTACGTACAATCATCTCTATGCTGATCCAACAGATCAGCGCACAGGCCCACATCGCCGGATGCGGAAAAGTCAGCACCACACCGATCCAATACAACCCGATACCAAAGTAAATCGGGTTGCGGGATCTGGCGTAAAGTCCGGTTGTGATGAGATCCGTCTCCTCGCCTGGATCCACTCCGATGCGCCAGGATTTACCCATCTGTATTTGCGCAACCAGCAGGATCGCAATACCCACAAACCCCAACAGCGAGGCGGTGACGGTGATCAGAGATGACGCAAACTGCCATTGCCCCAGTCGCTCAAAATGGTGGCATATAACCAGCACCGCGCTGACCAGAAAAGACAGGACAAAGGCCACTCCGGGGATAATCTCCTGCGGCGAAGCAGTTGGCTTTGCCAGCCTGACACCATGATCGCCGGTATAGTAATACTGAATGAGAATACGTCCGAAAACCGCAAAGGTGAGAAACGAAACCAGCAGCACAATCGCCATGCTAAAAAGCCTTTTTGCTCAACAGAAGCAGGAATATAATTGCTCTAGTTATTAGAGGTTCAAGAGATATCTTTTATGTTTACCATCGGCGAGTTGTCAGCCCAGGTTGGCGTCAAAATCCCAACCATTCGTTACTACGAAAAAATGGGCTTACTTGCAGAACCCTCAAGGAGTGCCGGCAATCAGCGTCGCTACACGCAAACTGGACTTGAGCAGCTTGGCTTCATCAAACATGCACGGGATCTGGGTTTCCCGCTCGATGCTATTCGCAGCCTCATCGATTTGAGTCGAACCACACAGGATGATTGCAGTGCCGTCGACGAGATTGCCGGTCGGCATCTCCAACAGGTGCGCGATCGATTGAGCCTGCTGAATAAACTTGAAACAGAACTGGAGCGCATAGTCGACGGCTGCCAGGCTGGTGTGGTCGACAAATGCTACGTTATCGAATCGTTAGCCCACCACGAACTCTGCCTGGGCAGCCACAGAGATCAAAAATGAACACTACCACCCTGGGGCGCACCCATCTGTCTGTACCGCGCCTTATCTTCGGCTCTATGGCCAGAGGCACCCACAACGACGGCACAAGGATTGAGGTCTTACAAGCCGCCATCGAGAATGGCTTGACCACCATCGACACGGCGCCGCTGTATGATTTTGGTCAAGCTGAACGTCAGATTGCGCGCGCCCTGCAGAGTATGCCTGACAGAAAAGTCCAAATTCTGACCAAGGTTGGTTTGCGCTGGGATGCAGGAGATCATGGCGAGGTGCTGTTCGAATTTACCGACCCACACGGCAATCGCGGCGCTGTACGCAGGAACTCAAGACCGGAATCAATCTGTTGGGAAGTAGAACAGAGTCTGAAACGGCTGCAGCTTGAAACTCTGGACCTGGTGCAGATTCACCAGCCAGACGAAGACACACCATTAGCTGAAACCATGGGTGCGCTGCTGGATCTTCGCTCCGCAGGCAAGCTGCAGCACATCGGGGTATCAAATTTTTCGATAAAGCAGATCAAACAGGCCCAACGCGCCCTGGGTGATGTCCCCCTTGCCAGTGTGCAACCGGAATACAATCTGCTGCAGCGGCGGATCGAATCAGAGCTGATACCAGTATGTATCAAAAACGACATAGGCATTCTGGCCTACTCGCCGCTCGCTGCAGGTCATCTGACAGGCAGTTCTAAAGTAGACCCGCCGATCGCGATTCGAAAAGTTGTGCAGGACACCCTCTTACCTATTGCCGCGCAACATGGAGTGACTGCAGCGGCAGTTGCGCTGGCCTGGGTTTTTCAGCAGCCCGGAATCACGGCTGCCATTGCAGGTGCAAGTAGCCCGTCACAGGTCATACAGCAGGTCAAAGCATTGGAACTTGAGCTCACCGCACAGGAAATGGAACAACTCACTAGCCACTTCGCTGGCGTACCGCTGCATCCGCCAGATTCAAAACTGAAGAGCGTGGCTAGACGCGCAAAACGCCTGCTGGGTAACACATGGCGCAAGTTGGGGCGCTGAAACCTCGGCTGCTCACAACTCGGTGTCCTGATGAAAGCCCGGCTTGCCATGAGACACCTTAAAATTGGCCAGAGTACGGATTGCTGACTGGGGGTCCCGCATGTCTTCAACCCCGCGCGCAGAGGTTGTCCAGGCTTTGCTGGTGACGTCATGCAACAGGTAGCCGCGATAGATGGGATCGTAAAACGTCAATTGCGGGTTATTTGGCAGGTTGTCTGTAACGGGCTGAGCCAATGGTGGCGGCCAGTTGGCGCTGATGGCTGAAGTCACAAACTCCACCAGTGGAAACTGTTCACCTGCCTGCTTTGCGCGAGCGCCATCCAACGCCCAGAATGAATGCACATCTCCGCTCAAAATCAGTGGATGCCCGGACCTGGCCCGGGTAAAAGCATCCATGACACGCTGCCGGTTAGCAGGATAAGCATCCCAGGCACCAATGTAGCGTAAATCCTGACCATTATGCTGGTAAGAAAACGGCAGGAAGGGACCTGGTGACGCAAGGACATTCCAGGTGCTGGAGTTTTCGCTGATGGAACTGGTCAGCCAATCCTCCTGGGCTTTGCCTAACATGGTGCGCTCTTCAGCGAATACGGCCGGGCAACGTTCCCGATAGTTACCGAAACCATAACTCGGGTCATAGTCCCCAGTGCAGATTTCCCGGGTATCGCGAAACTGCCTGGAATCCAGCATGCTGATCTGGGCCAGGTTGCCCACCGCGATCCGACGATGAATATCAAAATGATTATCTCCCGGCGCCTTGTAACCACGCACCGGCATATGTTCATACCACGCCTGATAAGCCGCCGCTCGCATTTGTGCCTTAGATGGATCGTTATCTTCTAATGCATCATGATTATCAATGGATAGAAAGAAGGGAATCTGAGCATGCGCGTTTTGCAGATCCAGGTCCGTCTTGTATAGAGCGTGCCGGCGACGGAAATCATCCAGCGTGGTCGGTGCTGTTTCCGTGTCGTGTTGCCGGAAGGTCTCGCCAAACGAGGTATCGTAAATATAGTCGCCGAGGTGAATCACAAAGTCCGGGTTGTCAGCAACCATATGCCGATAAGCCACAAAGTGTCCGTGGGTATAGTTCTGGCAGGATGCGGTGACAAAACGCGCACTGTTCATCGCGCTGTTACCCGAAGGTAACGTCTTTGTACGACCGATGGGCGATACATGGCCCGCCACGCGAAACTGGTACCAATACTCCCGGCCGGCGTCGAGATCGTCTATTTCGACGTGAACAGAATGTGCCCATGCCGATTGGGTCATGGATTCACCACGCCGGACGATGGTGGCCATATCTGGCGTCTGCGAAAGCACCCACTGAACCGCAACACCCTGCTCCGGCATGCCACCATTGATTGCCAGTGGGCGCGGCGCAAGTCGAGTCCACAACACAGTGCTGCTGGCGGTCACATCACCTGAGGCAATGCCCAGTGCGAAGGGATACGCAGAAATTTTGCCCGCGGCATATAGCGGTGGCGCCATTGGTGCGCCCCCCAGACCGACGAGAGTGCTCAGTAAAAAGGTTCTTCTATCCATACTTTGCCCGGATCTCGTTCGTTGAGCCAATTATATCGGCTGGATAGGCACCAAATATCATTTTTGGCTGTCATGCCGCCCCAGGTTTTTGTAAAGTGCGTCACACCGACGTATCACCATCATCAAGGAACCCCGATAATGCCTCAGCGACCGTCGCTCTCTCAATCTATCACAACCGGCGTAGCCGCAAGCTTTTGCGTACTCGTCGGCTTGCCAATGCAGACTCAAGCGGCTTCTGGCCAGCAGAAAGTCCTCGAAGAAATCGTTGTTACCGCACAACGGCGGGATGAAAGCATCCAGGAAGTACCTATTTCTATCACCAGTATGTCTGGTGATCGATTGAACGCCAGATTTGCAGGCGGTGAAGACATTCTGGCTTTATCCAGCGCCGCACCTGGCCTGTACATCGAAACGTCAAATGGCCGCCTGGCGCCACGTTTCTACCTTCGAGGTCTGGGTAACGCTGATTTCACAGCGGCTGCATCACAGCCTGTATCACTCGTCTTTGACGACGTGCCCATGGAAAAGTCGGCTCTGAAAGGATTCCCGCTGTTTGATATGGCGGATATCGAGATTATTCGCGGCCCGCAAGGCACCCTGTTTGGACGCAACACCACTGCGGGTATCGTCAAAGTGAATACACGCCGTCCAACGGCTGAAACCGAAGGCTACATTACAACTTCCGCAGGCAACTACGGCACCTTCAATGTTGAAGGCGCGGTCGGCGGGACACTGATTGAAGACGTCCTGACCAGTCGCGTTTCTTTCCTACGACAGAAACGCTCCGACTGGGTCGATAACGGCTTCACCGGCGAAAGCGACGCACTGGGCGGATTCAACATCAGTGCAGCACGCATTCAGTTCGAGTGGACCCCGCGCGACGATCTGACCGTATGGTTCATGCACCAGCGTCAGGATTCCGAGAGCACCACCAGCCTGTTCCGGGCAAACGTGCTCAGTCAGGGCAGCAACAGCCTGAATCGCAATTTCGATCGCGACAAAGTGTTCTTCGATGGCGGTGACGGCAACGAAGGCCGTATCGATTCCAGCGGTACAACCCTCAAAGTGGACTGGGACGTCAATGAGGATTACACGCTGACCTCAATCACTTCATTCCAGGACATCAGAGACCGATTCGGTCGCGGCGATATTGACGGTGGCTTTGGTTGTCTGTTCACCTGTAGCGGACCTGCTGGTCCAGCCAGCGACCCGTTCTCGCCATTTGCCTCACCCTTTGTCGTAAACGTTGATACTGGCGGCGATATCGATCTTGAGCAGTACACTCAGGAAGTTCGCCTCGCGAGCAACTTCGAAGGGCCGATGAACTATCAGGTAGGTGTCTTCTACTTCAAAGATGATTTCTTCGGTACAGCGGCAAACCAAAGTGCTGGAGCTACCGAGTTTCAAACCGGATCCACAGCAAACATTGAGAACACATCAATCGCCTTCTTCGGACAGGGTAGCTACGACTTCACAGACAAGCTGACCATTACGGCAGGTGTGCGCTACACCGATGACGAAAAAGAAGCGATCAACATTCGTTTCGCAGGCGGCGTTCCGGATGAAGTGCTGCCGAAGATCGATCTTGACGATGACAACATCAGCTGGGACCTGGCCTTTTCCTACGCTGTAACCGAAGCCGGTCAGGTGTACGGTCGCGTGGCATCAGGTTTCAGAGCACCCACCATTCAGGATCGCCTGGAAGATGACCCGGAAGTCACCACCGCCGATTCAGAAACTATTCTGTCCTACGAGTTAGGCTACAAAGCACAGTACGAGAAGCTGCGTTTCAATATCGCCGCGTTTGCCTATGAGATTGATGACATTCAGCTCACCGCCGTCGGCGGCGCCAGCAACTCAACCACGCTGTTAAACGGTGACGAAGGAACCGGCTACGGTGTTGAATTCGAGTTTGATTACATCGTCAATGACAACCTTGTCTTGTCAGCAGGCTACGGCTACAACAAAACAGAGATCAACGATGACACACTGGCTGTTGCACCCTGCGGTTCCGGTCTTTGTACTGTAACTGATCGGCTGAACGGTGCTGGTCTGGCGTTGATCGACGGTAATCCCTTCCAACATGCGCCGGAATGGACCGCAAATTTCGAAATCGACTACACAGCTACGCTACCCAGCGGTAAAGGAGAGGTCTATATCTTCTCCGACTGGAAGTTCCGTGGTGAAACCAACGATTTTCTCTATGAAAGCGTTGAATACACAACCGATACCCAGTTCGAAGGTGGTTTGAAGTTCGGCTATCGTAACTTTGAGCACGACTACTCGGTTGGACTCTTCGCACGTAACATTACCGATGAAGAAAACATTCTCGGTGGCATTGATTTTGCCAACCTGCTGGCTTACACCAATGAGCCACGAGTATGGGGAATCGAGGGTACCTGGAACTTCTAATTCGAGTTCAGAGCACACACCGTCAAGGTCCTTTTCGTAAGGGCCTTGGCGCGCTGTGCGTCACCGCATGCGCCTTTCTGGCAGCGTGCACACAATCACCCGATCAAACGCCCGCTTCCACGTCAAAGCCAACCGAAAGACCCAACATCATCTTTCTGCTGACCGATGATCAGCGCGCAGACACGCTGTCTATCGCAGGCAATACCGATATCAAAACACCTAACATTGATGAACTGGCGCGCGGCGGTGTGCGCTACAGCAATGCTTTTACCGTGCAACCCATCTGTGCGCCAAGTCGTTTTGCCTTTCTCTCGGGCCAGTATGAGCGCACCAGTGGTCTTGGCTTTAACTCCCCTTATGAGGTGTCAGAAACACAATGGGCGCAGACATATCCTGCGCTGCTGCAACAAGCCGGCTATCACACCGGCTTTATTGGCAAATTCGGCGTGCAGTATTATTCGTTTGAAGGTGGCACAAATGCGCAGTTCGATTACTGGCGCGCCCACGATGGCTGGCTGCCTTTTTTCCCCAAAGACATTGAAGGCAATCCGGCTACGCAGATCTATCAAGATGCCAAAAGCGACATCACCACCGAGATCATGGGGGAATACATCACAGAATTTCTGGCAACGCGCCCAGCTGACAAGCCGTTTAATCTATCGGTCAGTTTCTCGGCACCACACAACTCGGTGGTCTCGTCCATGTATCCTGAAGGTGCCCATGACGATTGCGACAACTACGCCTGCAGGGTCATGGGCTATCCGGCAAACGCCAACCCCCGTTTAAGCGGGCACCCGATTTACGACACTCTTTACCGGGACCCGGGCATTGCAATTTCACCCGATACAGGCGCTGACCCCTATCAGTTTATTCCGCAAGGCGTTATTGACCACGAAGCACGACAGAAATGGTACGCCTATAACTATGAGCCCAGCCTGCAGCCGGAACATCTGATCCGTTATTACCAGACGATTACCGGCATTGATCAGGTAGTAGGTGAACTGCTGACACAACTTGAAGATCTTGGTATAGCTGACAACACCATCATCGTGTTTTCCAGTGACCATGGCTTGCTGAACGGCGAATACGGTACAGGCGGCAAAGGCCTGCTGTACGATCTGGTCGCCAAAATACCCCTGATCGTTTATGACCCACGCAACGTGCAGGCGGGTGCCGCGCGAGAGAATACCAACCTCGTACTGAGCATTGATGTACCCGCCACTCTGCTCGCTTACGCAGATGTGTCGGTACCCGCAAACATGCAGGGCAAAGACCTGAACGGCAACGCCGCACCGCGGGAAGAAGTGTTTCTCGAAAGTCTGACCGTGGCGGAAGGTAACCCGTTTATCGAAGCACTGCGAAGTAATGAGTGGAAATATGTGCGCTATCTGCAGCCACAGGGCTGCCCCTACACCGAGGCACATCTGGACCTGGCCGGTCAGACACCCATTTTTGAGCAGCTGTTTCACCTGGCCAGCGACCCCGAGGAACGCAACAATCTGGTTGACGATGCCGCCCACCTGGCGGTGCTAACAGATTTTCGCAGCCGTACCGACCAACGCTCCGCACAACTCACTCAAACAAGTCGCCAGTACAAGCAAGACACTAACGTGCCTTTGAGACCATCTGAGGGCGCGTACTGTTGGTAATCACATCATTTGAGCGCATAGTTCATGCGATTTAGCAGACACCCCACTCACCAGCAACCTGCGCGAGCCGGTATTACACGCAGACATTTTCTTGCAGCTGCCGCGGCTTTCACCGCCGCCTTAAGCAGTAGCGCGCTGGCCAGCAGTAGCGGTGGTCAGCCGGTTATCCTGGATACCGACATTGGAGATGACATTGATGACACCTGGGCCCTGCTCATGTTGCTGCGCATGCCCAACCTGGATCTGAAGCTTGCCGTTGGGGATTTTGGCAATGCCATCTACCGGGCACGCCTGCTGGCAAAACTGTTAGAGGTTACGGGTCGGAGTGACGTACCTGTGGGCATCGGTATGGATCAGGCAGACGAGCCCGGCCAGCAGAGCGGCTGGATAGGCGACTACCAGCTCAGTGATTACCCCGGTCTTGTGCACACCGATGGTGTGCAGGCGATCATTGATGCCATCAAGTCATCCCCGGAGCCTGTGACCCTCATTTGCCTGGGGCCGGTACCCAATATTGCCGAAGCGCTGCGTCGCGATCCGTCGATTGCCTCAAATGCAAAGATTGTGGGCATGTACGGATCAATCTACACAGGCTACCTGGGCTCGCCTGAGCCGGCCGCAGAATACAACGTCAGAATCGATCCACAATCCCTGCAGAGTGTTTTTGCTGCACCCTGGGAATGCACCATCACACCGTTGGATACCTGCGGACTTGTTGTGCTTGATGGCGACAATTACCGCCGTCTGTACTTGAGCGATGATCCGTGGCTGCAGACACTCATGGAAAACTACCGTGTCTGGTTACCTGGGGCACCTTTTGTTGACCCCAACCAGGACACCACTCGCATCAGCACCACGCTGTTTGACACCGTGGCGGTGTATCTCGCTGCCAGCGAAGATCTTGTCGACATGCAGACCCTGCCGCTTCGAGTGACGGACGAAGGGTACACAGTCATCGATCCCGCCAAAGGTCGGCCTGTGCGTTGCGCTGTTGGCTGGAAAGATCTTGAAGCTTATGAGCAGCTTCTGGTGGAGACACTGCTGGGTTGATTATGAGATCGCCAGGATCACCCGCACCGAGACTATTGCATTCAAAGTTCGTCTTCGACATCGGAGATCCACTGTGAACTTTCAGCGCTATTCAATCGCCACAATATCTGTCCTCGTAGCACTACTGACAGGAATAGCCTCAAAAACCCTTGCTGGTGAACCCAGCCAGCCGCCTAACATCATCATCTTCCTGACCGACGACCAGGGTTATGCCGACGCTGGTGTTTACGGTAGTCACGATCTAGACACCCCCAACATTGATCAGTTGGCACAAGAAGGTATCAAATTCACCAGTTTTTACGCCCAACCACTTTGCGGCCCTTCACGCGCGGCGCTCTTGACTGGACGTTATCCGGTGCGTATCCAAGAACCGGGTAACACTAAATCTCCTAATACCACTCTGGCCGCGAGCGAAGTGACCATTGCTGAAATCCTTCAACAGGCAGGTTACAGAACCGCACTCATCGGAAAGTGGCATCTTGCTGGAGATGGCGCACCCTGGGACTATACACCGCCGCCGTTACCCCCAGGCAGACCGGGAGGGAAAGGTCCATTCGACAAATCACTTATGCCAAATGCCCAGGGTTTTGACTACTTTTTTGGTACACCGATGCACAACGGCTACACGCAACAGGTGGATCCAGCCAGATTTATCGTTGATCTCATGCGCAATCAGTCAATCATCGAAACTCAAACGGATGTCAACCAATTAACGTCCCGGTACACACAAGAGGCACTGCAATTTATCCGCTCAAACGCCGCCAATCCCTTCTTTCTGTTGCTTTCCCACAACATGCCCCACGTATCTCTGGGTGTTAGTTCGACATTCGCCGGGCGATCTCGGCGTGGTCTGTATGGCGATGTGATTATGGAACTGGACTGGAGCCTGGGAGAAATACTGCAGGAGTTGCAGACGCTGAATATCAATAAACATACGCTGGTTATCTTTTTGTCCGATAACGGACCGCCGCTAGGACAGCTGACCGACAGAAATGGCGCAAGCGCCGAACCTCTAAGAGGAGGGAAATACTCAAACTGGGAGGGCGGCGTGCGGGTGCCCGCCATCATGCGCTGGACCAACACTATCCCTGCGCAACAAGAGGACCATCACATTGCCAGCGTCATGGACCTGTTGCCAACAATCTCAACCGCATCGGGCGCACCACTTCCTGAGGACGTGGAAATAGACGGATACGATCTCACACCGAGATTGTATGGAAACCCCACGACACACTCTCGCACCCATTTTTATTATTCTCTGACAACACTGCAGGCTGTGCGCAAAGGCCGCTGGAAACTGGTTTTACCGCGCCAGAAAAAGGCGCCGGAGTTATCCTGGCTAGGCCGATATACCGAAGACGTGGCAGATTACCAGTTGTATGATCTGGTAAGTGACATCAGCGAGCAGAACGATGTTGCCAGACTACATCCTCAGGTTGTGACAGACCTTTTGTTGGAAGTTGACTGGGCGACTCAGAACCACTGACAACAATTGGTAGCGTACAATTCAACATGTAGACGCTCCCCCAGCGATTGGTCGGGTGAAAGGAATGATAAAAAAAGTAGCGGTTGTAGGCGCTGGGCTCATGGGATCCGGTATCGCTCATCACCTGGCAAGCCAAGGTTCTGAGGTTGTTTTATTGGACAAGGATCAGATGCAGTTAGATCGCGCCAGTTCAAAATTTGATCAACTGCCTGTCACGCTAACCACAGACTTTTCCAACCTCAAGGACCGTGAATTTGTTATTGAGGCAGTTTTCGAAGATATCGATATAAAACGACGCGTCCTTAGAGAGATTTCAGGCAAGGTGTCTCATGGGGCTGTTGTCGCCACGAATACAAGCTCCCTGCTAATCAGAGACCTCAGCGATAGTGTGACTCATCCTGACAGGTTTATTGGGGTGCATTTCAACAATCCACCGGACTTTAACCCAATTGTCGAAATCATTCCTTCAGCAGAAACGACACAGAGTGTCACAGAATCTATTCACAGCTGGATAAATTCAACGGGCAAGCGTGCAATACGCTGCGCCGACACAGCGTGTTTTGTTCTGAACAGGCAATCGTTGCCTTACATAAATGAAGCAGCGCGTTGCCTCGACATGGCTACCCCTGGGCAGATAGATGCCATCGCCCGTAAACGTCTTGGTGTCGGTCTTGGACCTTTTGCGGTAATGAACCTTGTTGGGTTACCCGTCATGGCAGCTGCAAGCAGGAATCTGTCTGTGCTTGGCCGGGGTTATCAGGCTTCCACGGAACTACAGATGCGTGCTAAGAATACCGAACCTGAGTGGGAGATCGGCGAGCCCGCCGAGATTGGACAAGCTTCTGAATTGAAGGTAACAGAGCGCCTGCTCGGCGCAATGATTTTTCCGGCCGTAGAAATCCTGGCACAAATGCTTTGCAGCCGCGACGATTTACACCTGATCTGCATGGAGGCGTTAGGCTACGGAAAATCTTCGGCCGAGGTATTAGATGAACTGGATCCTGAAGACATAGACAGGCTGACTTCAATTTATCTGAGTAGTCAGAGCTGACTTACCCACAGCCAGCAATCCCCGCGAAGTGGTGGATCTGAATGTCTATTACTGCCACGAGCGCTTGATCAGTCCAACCTGAGGACCCGGCGAGCATTGTCACGCAGGAATTTTGGCCACACCTCATCCTTGAGCGGCAGATCCTGCATGTCAGACATGATCCTTTCTATCGAAAGACCCATCGGGAAATAGCCGCCGTAGATGATCTTATCGGCTCCTCGGGAGTTGGCATAGTCGATGATTGCTTTGGGATAGAACTTTGGTGCAAACGCCGTGGTTGAGTAATACAGATTCGGCCATTTGAGCATAAGCTTTACAGCGAGGTCTTCCCAGGGTTCACAACCATGACGTGTGACAAAAACCAGCTCCGGAAAGTCATACATCACCTGGTCAATAAGCTCTACTTTCTGGGGCCACATGGGAAACCTGGGCCCCGGCACGCCGGCGCAGGAAAAGATCGGAACGCCCAGCTCCACACATTTTGCATAGATCGGATACATCAGCGGATCGGCAATGCCGACTTGCGGCTGATACCCCGCATTGAACGCGCCAAATGAACGCACACCAAACTCTTCGTACTGGCGCACCATATCGCGGATGCCATCCATACCTTTATTCGGGTCCACACTGCCCTGCCCGACAAATCGATCCGGGTGATCCTTCAGGGCTTTTCTTGACACCTCTCCGCCGACACCAATCAGACCGACCTCGATGCCAAACTGATCCATCTGGTCCAGTGTCACCTTTACAGGATCGTCCGTGCTGCCATAGAGTTCTTTTGGCACCTGCTTGAACATATACTCGACCGGAAAATCGAATTTTGCTGACGGATCTTTCAACTGTTCGCGTATGAAGTCATACATAGCGAAGTCCTCGGCGGGAAAACCGATCATCGTATCGACGATGCCGATACCAGAAGGCACAGTCATAACTCTTTCTCCTCGATTATTTGCCGGCGGCCAGCGCGCCCTGGAACAGGTAGCACATGGAGTCCCTGGGAATCTGGTCAAACGGCAATGGTTCGTTCACCTGATCAGGTGTCGGTCCAAATTTATTGACCAGTGACATCAGCTTTTCAATATCGAACTTGTAGACCTCCGCCGCATTCAATCCCAGCACTCGTCTGCGCACATCCTCGGGTATATCGGCGAAAGTCAGGCGCAGCGATTCCAGGTTGTAGGGAAACGTACCTTCGTAGTGCGGGTAGTCATTACCCCACATGACCTTTTCAACGCCTAATTTATCGATACCATCCAGGTCTGCCTTGCTTGGGAAACTGGCGCCGTACCAGCAGTTCTGCCTGGCATAAAAGCTGGGTGGTTCGGTCAGCACCCAGTCCTGATCCCCATAGTTGAGCTCACCAATCGCGCCGGCTTTCATACCCATATGAATGCGATCCATCTGCTCGAGTAGCGCCGGTACCCAGGCGCACCCGGATTCGGTCAGTACATATTTCAGCTTCGGAAACTTCTCGAAAACACCGCTCATGATCAGGTGCCGAAACCCGGCCTGGCAGTACCAGGTCACTTCGGTCACCCACAAAGCTTCACCCACCATGCTGCCGCCATAGTCCGGAGAGCCCTGTCCCGAGTGCTGGTTCATGACCAGGTCATGGTCCTGGATCGCTGCAAAAAGCTTGTCCCACGCCGGATCGTAAAGCGGTTTCAGCCAGGTGCAGTCTGGTGGAATCAGGGGTAACAGAACGCCACCGCGTAATCCGGCTTCTGCAATAAACTCAATATCTTTGACAGCCTCATCAAGATCGTTAGGTAGAATGAGTCCAATGCCCGCACGCCTGTCGGGGTCCTCGGCGCAAAAGTCTTTTAACCAGCGGTTGTGCGCCCGGATGCCGGCCAGCACCAATTCATACTCATCAGGCTTTGGTGGTCGTGCGGTAACAATCGACTTGCGGAAAAATGGCGGCACGGTATTGGGAAACACGACCTCCCCTACGACACCCTGGCTGTTCTGGTCATTACTGCGAATCTCAAGATCCCAGTTTCGCATTTTTTTGCTGCCATAATGCGCCTGGGAAGGGTTCTTGTAGCCACCCCGCCATTCATCAAACGTATTGCGGTACTGCGGATCAAGATATTCGCGGTATTGCTCATGGCTGCCACCAGCATGAGTGTCGGCGGTAATCAGTACATAGGGTTCGCTGCTCATCAATATTTCCCGGCATCTGCAATGTTTAGATGTTGACTAGAGCTGCGGGAATCGTCAAATCCTTCAGATTCACCTCTAAGTGTGATGAGTATCTTCGTAATCGGACCCTTTCAAATGCAAACACGCATGTTTCATACTTTTATATCAACATGAAAAGGCGGTTATAGTTCCTATCCGTTTAGCAAGTTGCTGTGATGCTGTGATCTAAATCATTTGAGGGCATGTTGTGATTAAAAAAATAGCGCTGAGCATTGGGGTGCTTATCGTCTGTTTCGTGATATTGGTTTTTATTGCAGTCGGTGTTACCGCACCGCAAATGCCGCCGGACAATTCAGCTTCGTTTGAATGGCTCAAACCTGGTCCGTATCCGGTTAATTCATCTGATTATGAATGGGCAGACACATCACGCCCCACGCAAAAAAACAGAGATTTCCCCGGTGCTCAGCAGCGCAGTCTTCCAGCGACGATTTGGTATCCCGCGCAATTCGATGGCCCCTATCCGCTGATTGTCTACTCCCACGGATTTCTTTCTTCTCGAGGCGAGACTGAATATCTTTTGCGGCAGCTGGCCTCCTTTGGTTATGTTGTCGTGGCCGCGGACTTTCCTTTGACCAGCGGCAGCGCGCCCGGCGGCCCCAACATTAATGACGTGTCACAGCAACCGGCAGATGTAACTTTTTTAATTGATACAGTGCTCGCTTTGGCAGGTTCAGAAAAACCTTATAGTGGAGAAATCGATGCTGATCGCATCGGTATAATGGGTCTATCGTTGGGTGGCTTTTCAACTTCTTTAACAGCGTATCACCCTCGTTTGCGCGAGCCCCGGGTTAAGGCTGCCATTTCGATTGCAGGGCCTTCCGCCAATTTAACTGAGAAATTCTATACTCAGAATGACTTGGCATTACCGTTCCTGATGATCGCCGGCACAGCTGATCGGCTCATCGACTTCGCCTCCAATGCTGCTGTAATTCCTCAACGGGTCCCTGACGGCGGGCTGCTGTCTATCGATGGAGGAAACCATATCGGGTTTGTTGGAATGGCTGACCCCACCTTTCGATTCTTCCTCAACGCAGATTCAGTGGCCTGCCTGTCGGTGGAAGCGAACATTGATGCATCCGAGGGGAGAACCAATGAGGATTTATTTTCCAGTGCAGAAGGCATCGTGTTCGACGCTTCAGCGCCAACGCGTTGCCAATCAGAGGTGAAGGAGGCCATACATCCGGGCCGACAGCATATGATTACCCAACTGGGTGCGCTCAGTTTCTTCGAATCAGTTCTGGCCGATTCGGCGGACAGGCGTGCTGAGGCGAGGGAATTTTTGCAAATTCATTTGTCTAATGATTTTGACGAGGCTGACTTCAGATCGAAGTAAATATCACTCAGGTTAAAGTGTTTAAAACACAGAGTGACGAGATTTGCCGGACTGGGACCATAACCGTTTTAACCCCGTGCTAAACTCGCAAGCATCTACGGCTAAGCAGGTGTAAAGATGTACAACAACGGCATGTCCGAGCAGCTCACAGACGCCGGATTTTGTGTTGTTCCTGACGTACTCAATGCACAACAGGTGTCCGCCCTGCGCCAGCAATTATTATCTGCTGCACAAACCTTCGAAGCGTCGGGAGCCTCGACGTTCATGCCTGAACTGGACCCCAATGCCAAAAACGTACGGATCTTTAATCTCATCGGTCTGGATGCGGTATTCCGGGAACTGATCCTGCACCCCAGCGCCATAGAATACGTGAAAGTGCTTCTGGGAGAGCACTACATGATCTCCAACTTCACCGCCAACATCGCGCTGCCGGGTAGCGGCTCCATGCCTATACATTCGGATCTCGGGTTTGTCTCGCCCCCACCCTGGCTGGCGCCGCACTCGATGAACATCATCTGGTGCCTTGACGATGTATACGAGTCAAATGGCGCAACCCGCTACATTCCAGGCAGCCATCTCTATCGAAGTCTGGACGATCTACCGGCTATGCCGATGCAACATACTGTCGCCTTTGAAGCATCGGCAGGGTCAATCATCGCGATGGACGGACGCATGTGGCATACGTCTGGCGCTAATGTCACCGAGAACAGTGAACGCGCATTGCTGTTTGGTTATTACTCCGCCGATTTTCTGCGCCCGCAGGTCAATTGGAACGCATTGCTCCCGGTCGAACTGCAGAAATCCCTGGACCCTGAATTGTTCCTGCGCCTGGGCCTCATGGCAGAAGGCAATGCGCGCCACGCCGGACAACTGCTGCAGCTGAAGCTACACGAACGAGGCATCAGATGACCAGACAGACGACCCCCGGGCCCACTGAAGATATCGAACAAGCTGTCAGTGATTTAGCATTGCATGGTCTGTGCGTCATCAGTAACGCGCTGGACGCAGCAGCGCTGGAGAATGCCAGGCAGGCACTTTACCACGCCGCTGACAGTGACCGTCAGAGAGGGCGGGCGACAAAAGGATTTGCCCTTGATGAAAACGAGCACAACCAAAGGGTCTGGAATTTACTCAATCGCGATTTGGTGTTCGCGGATCTGGCCGAGCACCCGATGGCCATTCGCCTGGTGCGCGAAACCCTTGGCTGGCCAGCTTTATTGAGCAACATTTCCGGCAACATCACTGAGCCCGGGGCGGTACGCGGGGTACTGCATGCCGACCAGATTTTTGTCCCTGAACCTTGGCCGACCCGTCCCCAGGGCCTCAATGTGCTCTGGTGTATTGATGCGTTCACCGCCGAAAACGGCGCCACCGAAATTGCCCTGGGCAGCCACCGTCTGCACCGCAATCCGAACTCAGGTGATGCGTCTACAGCAATGACCCCCATCGTCGCACCGGCGGGCAGTATGGTTGCATTCGAAAGCCGCCTTTGGCATCGCAGCGGCGCCAACACTTCCAGTGACAAAACGCGGGCGGGTGTATTTTCTTTCTACACCACACCTGTCTATCGTACTCAGGAGAACTGGTTTCTTTCATTGGACCCAGGCGTACAGCGATATGCATCAGAAACACTGCTCACTCTGCTGGCTTACAAATCCGCCGGCTTTGGATTGGTTTACGGAGAGTCGCCACGCTAAGAGAGCCATCGGAAGTGTCCTGCAGGATGTTTATCGATACAACTTGCGTCACAAACGTCCGCCAGCAATAGTAGGCACCATGAACCGTCTTTCACACCCAAAGCAAATGCAACAACTGCGCCGCATCGCGCTGCCCAAACTGATTGTTGTGTTGAGTCTGATCAGCTTTCTGCTACCGCTGCAAGCCACAGGCGCTGACCTGGCGCTGGCTTCGGTCAGCGCGGTGGCGGTGGACGTTACGGATAGCCAGGTGCTGTTGGAGCAGAACGCTGACATTGTCCTGCCGATTGCCTCCATCACCAAATTGATGACTGCGCTGGTGGTGTTGGAATCAGGCACAGACCTGGACGAGTGGCTGACCATTGAAGATTGGGACAGGAAAACCGCCAAGAACGCTTATTCCAGAATCCGCCTGGCCTCCAGCGCGCGCCGCCGCGACCTGCTGCGCATTGCTCTGATGTCCTCGGAGAACCGTGCGGCCTATAACCTGGCTTTACACCATCCCGGCGGTTTTGATTCTTTTGTTAAGGGCATGAACACCAGGGCACTCAGTTTGAATATGCGGGACACCCACTTCACCGACCCGACCGGGCTGGACGTCACTAACAGGTCGTCTGCAGCAGACCTGGCACGAATGGTGATCGCCGCTTATCAACAACCGCTGCTGAGGGATTATTCCACCACCCGGCAGTTCACCGTGAACTTCAAGCAACCGCGCTACCGCCTTGCCTACGGCAACACCAATCCGCTGACAGGCAGCGACCGGTGGGAGGTAGGCTTGACTAAAACCGGTTACCTTACCGAAGCCGGGCGTTGTCTGGTTATGGTGACGGAAATGGCTGGCCGAAAGGTCGGCGTGGTACTGCTCAACTCCCTGGGTACCCGTTCGCCTCTGGGAGATGCGGGACGCATACGCCGTTACCTGGAAGCCGGCACACGCAGCAATGTCGCCAAAGCCGCACTGGATCACCGCGCACAGGTTATGCAGACGCTTGGGTTAAGTGTGCAATGATACGCGGGCAACAGATGTGTTTGATAGCCTGTCGGATGCAGTAAGCGGTGATGGTAGGGATCTTTGCAGAAGGCGGAAAGCCGCGGTGCGCCATCTCGAGATCCAGCACCTCTATAACCTCCGCCGGGGGCGGCGAATCAACATAGAAGTTCACAGTTCTCATGGGTTTAGTTCTCACAGGTACCGTCCTGAAGGTATGATCTAACATTACAAAAACGGCGAATTGGGGAACGGTATGCGTAGTGACGACTCCGACAGAAACCTTGCGATCTTCAGCGATTTTGAGAATGTAGCTCTCGGCGTGAGAGACGCAAAATACCCAACATTTGATATCGGTCTAATCCTTGAGCGCCTATTGGTTAAAGGCAATGTTGTCGTCAAAAAGGCTTACTGTGACTGGGATCGTTACAAAGAGCACAAAGCCACCATGCACGAAGCCGCTTTTGAGCTCATAGAGATTCCGCACACCCGTCAATCGGGTAAGAATTCTGCTGACATACGCATGGTCGTTGATGCGTTAGACCTCTGTTATACGAAGGATCACATCGATACATTTGTAATCATCAGTGGTGATTCTGATTTTTCTCCTTTAGTGAGCAAACTCAGAGAGAACGCAAAGCTGGTTATTGGCGTAGGTGTTAAGAACAGCACCTCCGATTTGCTCATAAAGAATTGCGATGAATTCCTGTTTTACGATGACCTGATCAAGGAGAGCACGTCTAAACGCAGTACGCGAAAGTCATCGAGGAAAAAGAGTGGGAGCCAAAAGGCGGCCGAAAGTACAACCAGCAAAAAGAACGAGGCTGAGGGTGATAAGCAGGATGAAGGCATTGATCTGGTTGTTGAAACCGCCGACGCGTTGATCAAAGAAAGAGGCGACAGCGTCTTTGGTTCCATGGTCAAGCAAACACTGAAACGTCGTCACCCTGGATTCAGCGAGTCCTACTACGGATTCCGTTCTTTTGGCGACCTTCTGGAAGAAGCGCAATCACGCGGCATAGTGACAATGGAACTTGATGAGCGCTCCGGCGGTTACGTTATCCGCTCGGTATCACGAGATTGATCATTAAGGGTTTTTGTCCTAATCAAACGGGCGCTCGGATTCGATTCCGCATGCGCCGGATATGTCTGCTCCACTACCGTGAATGGCTAACCTGCTCAAACGACAGGACAGATATCACTGCAACCCGACTCTTTCTAATGGAAAACGCAGGCGTTCCATACTTTTAGACCAAAATTTAAAAGCCGTTATAGATCCTGTCCGTCTCCTATACTTAGACGATTAGGTGTAAAAGCCATTCGCTGCATGCGCTCCCGTAGCTGTATAAAAGGAGGTTACCGTGGACAACAAAAGACCCGTGCTGCTTAGCGTTGACGACGACGCAGAGGTGCTCAAATTAATTGAGAAAACGCTCAGTAAGCTCGACATTGAAGTGCTCACTGCCTCGTCTGGCAAAGAAGGCCTTGCCTTCCTGAAAGATCGTGAGCTTGATGTTGTCATATCGGATATGCGCATGCCGCATATGAGTGGCTCCGAATTCCTCAAAGAAGTATCAACACATCAACCGCATTGCTACCGGATCGTGCTTACGAGTGACGTACATCTAGATGATGCCAAATCTGCGATCAACGAAGGGGGTGTCTCACGATATCTGGATATTCCCTGGAAAGACGATGAACTGCGACGCGTTGTGAGCGAGGGCATCAGGATCGCCGCGCTTGCGAAAGACAATGACGAATTGTTTCAACTCACCCAGGCACAGAACGCGGAGCTGCACACCCTGAATGCAGAGCTTGAAGATCGAGTCTCACGGCGAACAGAAGCACTAGAACACGCTAATGGCATGCTCAGTAACGCGCTGAGTGAACTTGAAGAAACAAATGAACTCATGGTGGATCTTGTCGCCAACATTGCAGCAATGCCAAACCCGGAAAGTGACAAATCACGGAGAAAGTTAAGGCTCGCTTTAGCCATCGGTGCTGAGCTCGGCCTGGATGAGGAAGACCTTCTGCATCTCAAATATGCAACACGCCTCCACAAGCTCGGCTGGGTGGGTGTGCCAAAAAGTATCACGGCAAAACCACGGTCTTTGCTTTCAGAACAGGAGCGTGTCGAATTTGAAAAGCATACAACCTATGCGGAGGCGGTGCTGTTCAGTATCCCCCGGTTCAGAAAAGCCAGCGAGATTATTGGCAGTCAGCACGAACAGTTTAATGGCCATGGTTTTCCACAGAAGCGTGTAGGAGAAGGGATACCACTGGGCTCAAGAATCCTTGCTGTTACGCGCGATTACTATGAATGGATGGACGGCGCGATAGAAGAAGCACAGCTAACGCCAGCCGAGGCTGTGGCCAGAATTGTTGCCGAAAGAGACAATGCCTACGACGCCGGTGTAGTGAAAGCCTTTCAGATCGTAGTTCGAACCATTGATGAGCTGGACCCATCTCTGAATGAAACAAGCGTGAGAACTGTTTCGTTACTGCCAGGAATGCGTCTTGCCAGAGATTTGATTACCAATGAAGGTGTCGTTTTGCTTGCTAAAGGCACAACCCTGACTGAAAACACGATTGGCTCGCTAATTAATCTGGAACTGCGTTCAGATAAAAAACTAAAGATTTATGTGCTCAAGGAAGAACCTGAAAAAAATGCAGCCGCTTAGCAGGCTTGCTGGCGAGTCGCTCCCAGGCCGTAAAGTCAACCGTCAATGGCTCGCGCCAATTGCCCACCGTCAAACGGTTCGGGCAGTTTTATTATTGATGTGAGCCACTTTTCAGTCGCTTTCGCTGCTCACGCTCAGGGTGACTTTCATGCGCACCATTTTGTCATCGCTGAGCTCGCCGGGTTCCGGTTCACCAACAACGATTCGTCTCACGAGATCCGGCGCTATCGCAGTGATTGCATCGCGCGTATTCGCAGAACGCTGATTCGCAAGCACCGTAAGTTCAGCATCTGTCACAGCCTGTCGCTCAATAAGCTGTCTACGCAGCTCAGCACTATAGGCTACCGAGTCAAATACGGTGTCCTCTGTTTCTGGAGACACGGTCGTATATTGGGATCGCAGCGCGTCAAGATTTGCAGGCGACTCAGCGGCTGATGGCATAGATAAGAAAATGTCTTCAAGAATTTGCGTCTGCCGCTCCACTGTAACGATCGTTTTCATGTCGCCTGCAGTGGCGTCGGCTACTTGCGCCTCGATCAGTGCGTCCAGCTTCGCGGCTTTCAAAGCCAATCCGTCGGCTGCGCTGTTACTGGCGCCGCGCAGCTCTAGCGCAAGTTCCGGGCGCAACGCCAGCGCTTCAGCCAGTTTTCCTGCCCGCTCGATTTCCGGTGGTGTGAGATCTGCACGGCCGGGCAGAAAGGTAAGGTATTCCAGTTCGCTCGCCTCAACCCCGAGAAGGTTACCGAGCAATGCAAACGGGGATGCAACAATTTTCGTGATGAGGGTCCCTAACGCCTTCATTACAACGCCGCCGATTTGAAACTCTGGATCGTCGACATTGCCTCTAACCGGCAAATCAATGTCTATATTGCCATCCGCATCCTTCAACAACGCAACTGCCAGTCCCAGGGGTAGGTTCATCGCGCCGGGGTGCTCAACTTTGTCACCCAATTGCAGATCACGCAAAACGATATTGTTGTCCCCCACAAGTTCGCCAGCGGTAACTTTGTAACCAAGATCCAGGTCTACTTTGCCGTTATCGATCTCCCGCCCTGCAAAGGGGATTGTGTAAGCGGAAAGCTTAGGCATAGCGACATTCTGAAAAGCGACTTTCAAATCTGTATCACGCGAAATTTCGAGCGGTGTAACGGATCCGGAAACACGGACAAAACCGAATTCATCAACTTTGCCTTCAAGCTCAACAGCTGAAGGCTCGCTACTGTTGGTCGCAATGGTGCTCATGCCACCATTGAGGTCGGCAATCTTGGCTGAGAAAGGTAGTGGCAGGGACAGATCTTCAAAATCTACCGCGGCCTCTTCAATGACAACCTTTCCAATAGTGATGGCCAGAGGCAGCGCGGTATCGCCGTCTGATTCAACCCTGGGAGGCGCATCAGACTTTTCTACGCGGCCGAGATTGATGCTCCCGTCTGCCGCGATCCGGATATCACCATACGCTTGGTTAAGTTGGAGCTCGGCCACGCTCAGTAACTGGCCAGCACTACTGAATGCAATCTCTTTTGCTGCAAAGCGACCCCAACTGCCGAGTCGAGACCCCGCGTCGGTTTCTGTTATGAGAAAATCAAGAACGGCAAGTTCGCCATCAAATCTCAGTGGGTCAGCGGCCGAGCTTTGAAGTCGTCCGGATAGCTCAAGATTACCCGAGTCCAGGCTGACGTCTGCCAACGGCTTTATATAGGGGTGAGATGCGGCCAACGGAAGATTTTCTATTGCCACCGCGAGGTCAACCAGGAGAGTGGGCAGAATTGCGACTGCCCCATCGACCGTCACGGTGCCGCCCAGCTCAGAAAGCAATGCCAGCTTGGTCGGAAACGTGCTCCCAGGTTCGTTGCTGATATCAGTGACATCAATACTCAACGAAGTAACGCCCATATGCGCAACCGGCAAAACACTTTGATCTTCGAGATGAATTGACGTTCCTCTGACGGCAAGCCGGTCTAAGGAAACGCGCCAAGCTGAGCCTTGGTCTACTTCTGCAACGGGTTCTGGATCAGCTGCTCGCTGCGGCACAACATCGAGTGCACCGGTTTCATCGCGCAACAAACTAAGCAGCGCGTCGCTGATGGTAAACCCATCTGCGGAAACTATCTTTTCCGGCCAACGCACGGCGCCACCCGTCAGCTCTAAGTTTGGCAGCTTTAAAACATCGCGACTGCTATCGGCTTCATCGAAATCAGATGCACCGGCAAATGTACGAACGAGCACATCTTTGAATTGCAGGTTAAAGTCGTCAACGGTGGCCTCAAACTCCCCGCCGGGCGGACTGGCCACGCGATAGTTCAATTCGATATCAGCAACGCCGTCGACAATATCGAAGCCAATCTGGTGCTTGATGTAAGCAGACACCAGGGGGAAATGAGATCCTTTGATCGAAGCGCGGCCTTCAGAGAGAAGTGGATTGAGTTGCAACGTTCCACTCCAACTGAGCGTGCCCTGTTGCTCAGTTGCGATCACAACCTTCTGCTGTCCGATTCGATCCGACAGGGTATTGAGATCGGCGACCGCAATATTTACTGGGCCAAATCGCGTATCTACCGGATCAGCCGGCACCTGGTCGTTCCAGTTCAACACGCTGTTGTTGATCTCAAAATTGAACACCAACAGGGGCAGCATTGATGATGTTTCTGCTTCGGTTTCCTCCTCTGATGCCGTTTTGGACCCGGACGTCAAAAAGGCGATATTTAACTCGCCGTTGTCATCACGAGAGAGGAACAGTTCCGGCGAGTCGACGCGGATTTCATCAAACGAGAGGGCCCATCGAAACAGCGAGCTGAGCTGGAAGTTTACAAAGATCTGCTCAATCCGAGCAAAGGGCATACCTTTGGGATCATCAAATTCAAGACCGTCAATTGTAAGGCTCAATACAAAGGGATTGATTGCGACCCTTTGCAGGCGCAATTCTGCATTCAGATTGTTACGCACCAGATCTATCGCATTGGTTTTAACCAGCCACGGCGCTAAGAAAAAACCCAGCACGGCATAGAGTGCAACAGCGGCGGTCGCCGAAATGATCAGTTTGCGGTAGCGGTATATGATGGTCTGCATCCTAGTTGCCTCGTGAAATTTCAGCCTCGCTCATTTGTCTCGAGTGCGGCTTCAACTGCTTGGTTACACAAGTCAGCTCACGCCCCAGGGGTCGACCGTCGGAGGTAGTGCGCTTAGATTGCAACACATGCTCGTCATGAGTTCATCGGCCACTTTAGAACAACCCTAACGAGCCAGAACAGGCTGTGAATCCAGCAAAGAGATCGCCAATATCATCCCCTTGACCCACCACTTCAGTTGAAAGACTCAGCTTCAACGCGCCGACTATTCTGCCATAGGTTCCTATAGGTTCCCAATGAGGTCATATCATCCCAGCAGTGGTATCGAACAGCATGTTCATCGAGGCCATTGTCGCCCTCTACGCTAGGCGCATACTTCGCCGATCACTGGAGCTAGCCTGATCTTCAGCCAGGAATTCGTCCGATCTATGTGTTGTGGTATTAAAAAGCCCCCGGAACGGGGGCCTTTGCTACATATTGCGAGGATTAGCTGCAATTGATGTTTTTGGCGTTTAGCTTTTCGCGCTTCAAGTCGAATTCGTCCTGGCGCGCTTCAAATTTAATGATGAGAGATTGAATCTGCTGTTTCGCGTCGTCACCTGTCGTGACTTTAGTACCCGTGTAACCATGAACGCCTAGATCCCATTCCTGCACTTCGATTTTCAACTCCATGATTTTTAGATCGCGAACCACGTCGATGAGCTCCTGGCTGGCTTTGTAAAGCAGTTCCAGCTTCTGATTGTGCTCTACCTGGCTCTGTGCACACTGACTCTGCTGATACATTTCATAACCCCACAAACCCAAAGCTCGCATCTCCTCGGTGTTTGCATGCAAGGAATTGACGGCATGATGCAGTTTGGGAAACACAGGGCCGACGGCAAACTTCAAGACACCGATGACCGGAGCAGGCGCAATTTCGACCAGGCTCTGGAGCGGCAGAACTTCAGTCTCAGCCTCTTCGTTCCTGAGCATACCGTTCACCTTTCCCAGCATGCTCAAAAAGTCATGTCGGAACGTTTCCAGATCAGGATCGTTTAAACGCTCCTCGGCCGCGGCTTTTTTCTCTTTGAACTTGGCAATGGCGTTTTGCAGCTGGTCGTTCTGAATCAACTCAGCCGGGTCAAACTGAAGCTCGGTGAATCGGTCTTTCATCACCCTCACGGTATCGAATACCCCATCAACCTGTTGCAGGCTGCTCTTAATGATATCCGTCTCGGCGATCACGGCATTTGCCGTCGACGCAACCTCTTCCAGGCGCTGTGTCTGTTCATTTGCTTTGTCTATCAAGTTGGAGGTGCGGGTCTTCAAGGTGCCCGTGTCAGTTTTGATGGCGTCGACTTTGCTCTTGATCTGCTCCTGAATGCCAGCGTGAGCTGTTGCAGATAAAACGGATGCGCTTAAGAGGCCTGTCATCAGGATAGTTTTTATAGTCATATTCATGTCGATCTCCGAGTTATTTAGATATCGTGGTCAAACCCACGGTGTGCATACTCGAAGACAACGCGATCCAGATCCTCGCGTTTACTTCCGAAATACCTCCTAAAAACCTCCCCGACAAATATTGCTTATAAAACAGTAGGTTAGCGTTATAAAAAGAGAGGGTTTAATGAGGCACCGAACCTGCTATCTTGCTTTTAATGGCAATGAAAGACAGCAGCTGCCAATTCGGCGGCGTACAGATTCAGGCGGAATTGAACGAATTAGTGCGCGACGGTGAAACGATCAAAGTTTCACCCCGTGTCATGGACGTGCTTGTGTACCTGATTTCTCATCGCGATCGCGTCGTGCCTACGGACGAGCTGCTGGAGCACTTCTGGCCAGGGCGAATCGTGGAAGAAAGTACCGTGCACCGACTCATTTCCCAGATGCGTAACGCCTTGGGCGACTCTGCCAGCGAGCAGGACTTCATCAAAACGATCAGCAAGCGCGGTTACCAGGCGGTTGCAACTGTGGAGACGGCTGATCTTGACGCATCCGCTGTGACACAATCGCAATCCGCTCCAGCAGCCGCGAAGCCAGAACAAAGTGTAAGTTCTGATGGCTACGCACCAACCAGGCGTCCCTGGGTACTGGCAGCGCTGGCCGTGCTCGTGCTGGCTTGTGCCAGTGCCGGGTACCAATACTTACGCCAGGACGCGCCCGCCGACCTATCCGCACACGCAGCTCATGCGCATCTGGAAACGATTGCGGTCTTACCCTTCGTCAACCTCAACAGCAATGTTGAGCTGCAGTTTTATGGCGAAGGTCTGGCGGAGGTGGTGCTCGACCATTTGTCCCAGTCAGAGGTGCTGAAGGTGGCTTCGCGTACATCCGCCTTCCAACTGGCCAGCGAGGGTTTAGATGTGCAGACAATTGCGCAGCGGCTGCAGGTTGCTTACGTGCTTGAAGGCAGCATTCAGGCAACAGGTGAGCAAGTTCGCATTACCGTTCAGCTGATCCGAGGCGCAGACGGATATCACGTCTGGTCCAGAGTTTACGATCGGGCGGGTGAAGACCCACTCAACGTGCAGCAGGAAGTGGGGCGAAACGCTGCGCTCCTGGCTGAAGCCTATTTGCACAACGACGCTCCCCGGGAGCATCCGGAATTGTTTGCCGAATACGCCGGAATCAACCCGAAGGCCGTCAACTACTACCTTGATGCACAGAAGATATCGGTCAACATAGCGCTGGGTAACGGCGGCCAGCAATCCTACGCCCGCCAACTTGTCGAAACTGCTGTTGCTGTCGATCCGAATTTTGCTGCCGCATATGAAGACATCGCCTGGCACTATACAATCAGAACCGATCCGGATATCGATGTGAATACTGCCTCCGCTCAGGCGCGTGCGGCCATAGCAAAGGCGCTTGAGTTAAAGCCGGACTCCAGCGGCGCGCCCTTTTTCCTGATACAGGTCCTCAAAGATCTGGATCTCAATTACGCCGAAGCTGAGCGTTTGATCAACAAGGAAAGAGCAGCGTTTCCAGAGGGCCGATGGTGGTCTGCGTTTCTGGCGCACATTGCCATACGTGAAGGGCGCTTAAAAGATGGCCGACAGCATTTAGTCAGTCAGGTATCCCGCGGTGCAGCAGCAGGCGAGGAGTTACCATTTACCCTGCAGATGTACGCCCAGTTTCTTCTGATTGCCGGCGAGCCGAACAAAGCCATCCAAGCAACAGATCAGATTTTGAACCTTGCCGTGCGCGGTCGCCCCATGCTTGAGGCACTCTTGGTTCGCGCACGGGCGCTCATCGACCTTGGGCGCGTCGCAGAGGCGCAACAGGTAGTTGATGAAGCTTGGACTCATGCGGAAGCTGATACACGCAGCCGGTTTGCGCCGGTTTACCTCCTGCTCGGCGATGCTTCAAAAGCGCGAGAGATACTTGCCGGTGTGACACCGCAAAACAGAAACCGCGGCGACTTCGTGGAAGTGTATCTTGGCCTCGGCGAGTATCCGACAGCGTTTGCAATGATGCGTGAAGCCATCGAAGACCGCGATGGATCCGTGATCGACTACATGCGCACACCGGGACCATATGAGGCTATCGTGGAGGACCCTCGCTTCCGCGAGTTATTAGAGTTATTGGCGACCCTGGAAACCCCGACAGAAGACTTCTTGACGGCATCCGATTAGAAGCCATATTGATCGGCTCCCATTACCACCGCCGAAAGCGCGCACTTCATCTACAGATTCAGCTCAACAAACCCATGACAGCGCATAGCCCGAGCAAAGGTACGCTCGGCTTCTGTTACATAGGCGTCAGATCATCGCCTGCTCAACTGCACACGAATGGCTAACCTACGCGTGTGGCAAGTCGGCCTTAACAGCTACGCTACTCTTTCAACGATGGCCCATTAGCCCATGGGTTAATGTAGTGTTGGGTTCTGCCTTCCCCAACTGGTTTGAAGCTCAGCGCTGACATTTTTTGCGCTTCTTTGTAATAAATGCTGCGCCGGGTCGTATTACCTACTAAGCGACCGGAATTTTACGTGGCAAAAAACACAGCCTTCGACATTCTCTACCGAGAATATTACGTTCGAGTTTTCGGGCTGTGCCGCCGTTTGTTGAATTCCCGTGATTTGGCCCAGGATGCGGCCCAGGAAGTTTTTATGCGTGTTTACAAAAACTTTGGTAAGTACGATGCAGAACAATCGTTCTGGCAGTGGATAGCAACCATTGCCAACAATCACTGTATCGACCTGTTGCGTCAGCGTGGACGCTCTGATGCGCTGTTCGGCGATGAAACTGTCGAAATGGAAGACATCGCCGCTGTAGACGCACCCGTGCTGAGTGATCTTATTGCCTTGCAGGACGCGGACGCGCTGAACAACGCGATTGCAGCGTTGCCGGATAAATATCGGGTGCCGGTGGTGCTCGCCTATTTTAATCAGTTGAGTTACGACGAGATAGCTGAACAGCTGGACATCAGCCGCAATCACGTGGGCGTGTTGTTGCTGCGCGCAAAACAGAGTTTACGCGCAGAGCTGATTACTGCAGGCGGAGATTTGCCATGACTCATCCGACGCCATTACAGCTATCGATGTATGCAGACAGTGCGCTATCGACGGACGAAGCGAATGTTGTTATCAACCATCTGGATACGTGTGCGGACTGCCGGACTCTGCTGTCCGCTTATCAGGACGAGGCTCATCACCTCATCACCGCGTTACAGATTGAAGAATCTGACGCAGCAGAAGAACTGGTGATACCTAAGTTTTCGCGTCCCGCAAGTCTACGTGGGTTTGCGCTGGCTAATCTGGCAACCGGATTTGTGATCTGGTCAGCGCAGTTTTTGTGGAAGACCATATTCGGTGAACTGATAGTCAACGCGGCTGACTGGCTCACTTCAATTTATCTGCCCGACATTTACGCAGTGGCGAGCCGCACTGTACTGTATTTAATAGAAGAGGGAACAGCCATGTTCGATGCTTATCTTGGTTTCATCGTTGTGAGTATGTTGATGATCACCGCTTTGTCGGTTGTATTGCTGCACAACAGGACACGCGCCACAGCAAGTCTGTTTGTACTCGCCGCAACGCTGGGGGCGGTCACAATGCCTGCACCGGTAAGTGCACTGGAAATCAGGCGCGACGAAAACAAGGTGACCATTGCGGCGTCGGAGACCATAAACGACACCCTGATAGTTGCCGCGGAAACAATCTCCATCGAAGGCACCGTCACCGGTGACGTCATAGCAGTTGGAGCGACCATAGACATCTCCGGTTCTGTTGGCGGTAACCTGATTACGTTTGCGGAAACGGTGAATGTTCGTGGCGAGGTAGGCGGACTTGCACTTGGCGCAGCATCATCTTACAACCTGAAAGCTGCCACAGTAGGGGGCGACTTATGGGCGGCCGGTGAGACCGTAACGCTTGATAGCGACTCCCGGGTGAATCGGAACGCCACCCTCGCCGGCCAGAAAACGGTCATTGAAGGGAACGTTGCCAGCGACGTGACTGCATTTTCAGACAGCATTGAGGTCAGCGGTGATATTGGCCAGGACCTGGAAGCTTTTGCCGGCCGGGTAAGGCTGCTGAGCGATGCACACATTACCGGCGACCTGCGCTTTCGCTCCGCCGACAAAGACAGACTGTTTCGTGCTGACAGCGCGCGGGTGGACGGCGAAGTCGAGTTTGTTGCCATGCCCGAAGAATTTAAAGAACAAAATCGGTACGCCACGGTGCAGTTTTATCTGTGGCAGATCGCTCGCCTGATAGCTGCGTTTTTGGTGGGTGTGGCGATATTCTGGCTGGTGCCGGGTTTGCGATCGCTGTCTATCGGCGCGGGTGTCGAAGGGCTTAAATCTGCCGGTATTGGTTTGCTGACGCTGATCAGCGTCCCCATAACGGCAGTGTTAGTAGCGGTCACACTTATTGGCCTGCCGTTTTCTTTTTTTGCAATTGCCGCCCTGCTGACGGGGGTATACCTGGCAAAAGTAATTGTTGCCGGTTTGATTGGCCGAATGGTGTTTGCTGAGGACAGTCGGCCAGTCCTGAGTTTGCTGGTTGGCTTAAGCATCGTGATCGTCGCCGTGAACGTGCCTTTTATCGGTGGCATCGTCAACTTTTTGCTGACCATCACCGGTCTTGGTTTGCTGGTGCAATATCTGTTCGGACGGGTAGGTAATCGTGATGCGGTTTAACGCCTGAACAAACCGCTGTGACCACCCCAGGGTGGTCACAGCTGCATGCCGCTTGCGTCATCGACGCCGGCTAGCCACCACCACCTGTATTATCTCGCGTTTGCCTAATTCAATACTTTCGGTTTTCCACAGGTTCATTTGTGGTTCGTGGATATTAAGCTCCCAATGGGAAAAGGGAGAAATAATATAAAAATTCCAGTGGTTTGCCCGTTTTTGTGCCTGGGTATTACGCTCATGTTCCTGTTAACCCCACAGCATGTCATCGGCGCTGAGGGAGGATCGCAAGACAATGTGTCAGTTGGGGATGTGCTCGACACACAAGAGCGTCATCAAAATGCAGGCATGCAAAGCCAACAGCGCATTGATGCGTTAGACGACGAAACTGTTGCGCTCCTGTCCCAGTATCACAGTGAGCTTGAGCGTCTTTCAGACCTTGAAACGTACAACACCAATATGCGCAAGATGCGTGCCAGCCAGGAACTCGAAAAAGAGCGACTCAGCGCAGAACTGACTGAAGTCGAAGTTGTGCGGCGCGAGTTGTTTCCATTGATGGTTGAAATGATTGACCTGCTGGATCGGTTCATTGAATTAGACCAGCCGCTCCTGCTTGTGGAACGAAAAGCTCGATTAGCCGCATTACGCGAAAACCTGAATCGGTCAAACGTTACGCTGGGCGAAAAATATCGCCGGGTTATTGAGGCCTACCAGATAGAAGCTGAATATGGTCGCAGCATTGAGGCTTATGAAGGTTCTCTGACGCTCGATGGTCGCGACCTCACGGTCGATTTCCTGCGTGTTGGCAGACTGGCTTTGTATTACATAAGCCTTGACGGCAGCGAGGCTGGTTTGTGGGACCCAGCGGAAAAACAGTGGCACGACCTTGATGAAGAATATTTGTCTTTACTGGATTTTGCGCTTCGGGTTGCGCGTAAACAGGCGCCGCCTAATCTACTGCATCTGCCGCTGTGGACTGCGGGAGCGGAGTCATGAAGGCGTTCAAGGGTTTTGCTCTCCTGCAGGTTTTCCTGTTTACGCTGGCCACCTATGGGGCGGAGTCTGCAAGTCAGGAAGCCCAGGCCCAGCCTGAGACCCTGGCCGAACTTGTGCGTAGTGTGCGGGACAAAACCGCACGCAATCAGACCAGGCTGGCTGAGCGTGAGCAACGGTTTATTGCCGCTCGGAATGAGCGTGCGCAGCTTCTACGGGATGTCAGGCAACGGCGACAGGCTGCCGAAAACGAAGCCGATAGATTGCGCGCTGAGTTTGAAACCGGTGAGGAAGAGCTTGCAGACCTGGAAACAAAGCTGGATGAAAATGCCGGCGATCTGCGGGAAGTTTTCTCTGTTGTAAGGCAGGTAGCGGGTGACGTTGCACCTATATTGCAGAACTCTTTAGTCGCTGCACAAATGGGTCAGCGCAGCGAGCTGGTTGAGCGACTGGCCTCGGGTGAACGCAACCCGACGTCTGCCGAACTTCGCGAGCTCTGGCTGACACTTCTGGATGAGATGGAAAAAAGCGGCCACGTTGCGCGTTTTGAAACCGAAGTCATTACCGCCACCGGCGAAGAAGTGATGAAACAGGTCACGCGTATCGGGACGTTTACAGCATTGGCGGATGGTCAATATTTAAGGTTCCTGCCAGACAGTGGCAAACTGCTGGCACTTGCGCGTCAACCCGCAGGGACAAGTGCCGGCGAGGCGTTAAAATTTGAACAAGCACAACAACCCCTGACTTCGGTTGCCATAGATCCGTCGCGAGGCTCCATTTTAGCCCTGATTGTGCAGACACCAGAGATGTCAGAACGCATAAAACAGGGTGGTGTCATCGGTTATCTCATACTTCTGATCGGAGCAATCGGTGTCGCGTTGGGGGCCTATCGACTGGCGGCCATCCTGCTTACTCAGCGCAAAGTACGCAGGGAGCAAAGCGATCCAGCGCGGGATGACGGACATACCATCGCCACCTTACGAAAAGTCGCCCAGGATGACGCTTATCAGCTTGATGCCAGTGCGTTATCGGCAAAACTGGATGAGGTGGTTGCCGGAGCTGCTGAACGACTCAATAGGGGCTTACCTACGCTGGCGATCATTGCGGCTGTCAGTCCTCTGTTGGGGCTGCTCGGAACGGTGACCGGCATGATCGAAACCTTTCAGGTCATCACCCTGTTTGGCGCTGGCGATCCAAGACTCATGTCGGGAGGTATCTCTCAGGCACTGATTACCACGCAATTGGGATTGGCCGTTGCTATCCCTCTGCTGTTGCTGCACAGCTTCCTGCAGGGCCGGGCAAACATGCTCATAACCTTGTTGGATCAAACGGCAACCAATCTGTTTGCTACCCAGCGCGGCGCCCGGGCCGGTGCAGATCGTGTTTAGCGAGTTGCTTGCACAAAGTGAGTTGTTTGCTGCCGGTGGGTGGGTGCTCATCGCCATATTGTGTATATCCAGTGTCATGTGGATGCTGATCCTGGAGCGCTATGTGTTCTTTTTCCGTATCCGGCCGCGTCTGGTACGTGAAATTTTTCAACAGTGGCAAAGCGCCCGGACATCTGAAGCTGAAGTTAATGAACGTATCAGGGTTGGCCTGACAAATCAGTTCCGCGGCTATCTTTCCAGCTGGGTAAGTACCATCCAGGTACTCACAGCCATTCTTCCACTGCTTGGTCTGCTGGGTACAGTGATTGGCATGATCAAGACCTTCGAGGTTATGACCGCCTTTGGATCCGGCAATGTGCGCGGCATGGCAGAAGGCATATCCCAGGCGCTGATCACCACAATGGCTGGTTTGATGACGGCGCTGGCAGGTATGTACTTCGCGAGTGATCTCGACAATCGTATTGATCGTGAGACTGAACACCTCAGTCAGGTCCTTAACACCGATACAGGCACACCTCAGGTTGAAGAGGAGGTGCAGACATGATGCGCCTGCACACTCGTGAGGAAGGCGGAAACGCGGCGATTAATCTAACGCCGCTGATCGACATGGTTTTCATTCTGCTGATATTTTTTGCGGTCAATTCCACGTTTGTCAAATTGCCGGGCGTAGAGATTGATCAACCCAGCGCCAAATCGACCACAGTGCAAAAGGCAGCGACCATTCTGATTGCGGTCACCGACGTTGGCGACATCTGGATCGACAAGAAAAAGATCGACATACGTCGAGTCCGTGGTGTGATTGAACAGATGTTCCTGGAGAGCCCTGATGCTTCAGTGGTGGTTCTGTCGGATCAGGATTCACGTACTGGACTTGTCGTGGAGGTCATCGATCAGGCACGACTGGCAGGAGCAAGCAAGGTTGCCATCGCCGCTGCGGAAGCGACTGACGCTTCTGTGGGATCGCCATAACGATGTCCGCTACTGATGGCATCAGATATGCGGCTATCGGGCTGCTGGCGATTGCTATTAACATCATCCTCTACATCACCATGGAGAACATGATCTCCAGAGATCGCGTACGTCTGTTCGACGCGGTGGACGCACAAACCATCGATTTTGTCCGTGCTGATCTGGAGAATGAAACAAAAATTAAAGATCGTCGACGCAAGCCGCCACCAAAACCCCAGGAGATCAAGCGCCCACAGGCGCGTATGGATCCGAACATTGCAGCAGAGGCCACAGAACTGCCAACTACTGCTGCGATGATGAACATCACCAGTTTCCTTGCAGATGGGGGTGGGGTTGCGCTGGGCGCTCAACTGGTCCAAGGCAGTGGCGATTCCATGATGGATATCATGATGGCCAGTGAGTTGACGGCACTCAGTCGCTTACCGCCGCAATATCCCCCTTCTGCGCTAATGCGCGAACAGGAAGGCTATGTCGACGTGTTATTTGAAGTTGCGACGGATGGGTCTGTACACAACGCGGTAGTCATCGAAGCCAATCCAACGCGGGTTTTCGAACGCGCGGCGCTGGCAGCGGTATCCCGCTGGCGTTTCCAACCCGTTGTTCGCGAAGGTCGTCCGGTTTCTGTCCGCGCACGGGTACATGTCGAGTTCAATCTGCCGCCGCTGGAGGACTAGGCCACTATGATGGTGTATTTGCATCGCGGCGTTGTACTTGTTCTTCTGTTAGCTTGCGCCATGCCGCTCACTGCCCAGGAAAATATTCCTGAAACAATCATCCTGCAGGTCTCTCGCATAATGGAGACCGTAGACGACGAGCCGCAAGCGGCGATAGACGCGTTGAAAAATCTGTTGGAGCGTCGTCGACGGTCACCGGCAGTGCAGGCTTACATCGTGCGACAAAAAGCAGCGCTGCTCATTCGTGAGCAACAGATAGAGCAGGCGCGCAACGACCTGTTTGCTGTCTTAGACGGGCAGGCAGAAGATTTTGCTTTACCACTGCGCCTTATGCTTGGACAGGCATTATTGATGCTCGACGACTATCCTCAAGGCCTGCAACAACTGGAGATATGGGCCGCAGAAGCTTCGGAGCCGGATCCCACCGGATTGTTTCTTCTTGGTTACGGCTATTTGCGCATGGAGCAACTGGATCTGGCTATTGCACGTCTGGAGAGCGCAATGGCAGCACTCGAAGAGGTTCCGCGTAGCCACTGGATAGAACTGTTGGCTTATGCCTACGCTCGAGCTGACCGGCCCGCAGATGCACAGCGTTTAATGGAAAACCTGATAGCGCGGGATCCATCAGAAGAACGCTGGTGGCGCCAGTTGGCTGCTGTATTGCTGTTGTTGGAAGACATTCCCCGGGGAACCGCCGCTCTGTCTGTGGCGCAACAGATCCAGGAAGAATCATTTGAGCAAACCAGACGGCTGGCAAGGTTTTTAGCTCACGTTGGTCTGCCTGCGGATGCAGCTGAACTGCTGGCGAAGGCACTCGAAAATATTGATCGACCGAACGAGCCAGCTCAAACAGAGGTCATGAAAGACTCCGATATCGCCGGCGACTATCTCCTGCTGGCTGAAATGTGGGTTTTAGCGCGTGAATTCGACGCGGCCGTAGCGGCGCTGGAGCAGGCTGAGGTGCTAAGTCCGGAGGACGGTAAGCCGGCACTTGTCATGGGGCAGTTGTATCTGCATTGGGAACAATATCAGTCTGCCAGCCAGGCACTTGATCGGGCAGCGGCGATCTACGCCTCCGTCGCGCCGGAAGAATCCCATGCTGAGGTTAATTATCTTCTCGCTATTGCCCATATTAATCTCAAACAATACGACGCAGCGCTTGTTGCCCTGGACAGGTTGAGCATGGACGATGCTTATACTGCTCGTGGTGCTGCGCTTGAGCGTTTCATTGCTAATCGTCGGCACGCGCCCGCTAATTGACAGACCTGATTTGACCGATGTGGTTATTGCTCTGAAACAAACAAACAACAAACAAACTTCAGGTCTGCTCAGGTTCCATATGAATGGAAACATCCCGTAAACCGAACCGTTCTTCGAGGACCTTCTCTATGTCATCGGCAATCGCGTGGGCTTCGTGCAGCGTCAGATCTGCGTTAGCGCTAACAACCATATCCACTGCGGAGTCCGAGCCTTTCCAGCGTGAACGTACCTGACGCACACTGCCTGCGCCGGTTATTTCCTCCGCCGCCGCAATCAACAAAGAAGACTCTATTGCAGACTCATCCACTAACACTGGTATGGCTTTACGAAACAAACCATAAGCTAAGTAAAAAACAAGTCCCGCAACGCCTATTGCACAGAGCTGATCAAGCCAGATGTATCCCATAGCGGATAACTGCCAGCCGCCAATCACAACGACAGTCGTTAAAACGTCCGCAAACGTATGACTGGCATCCGCATACAGAATTTCAGAGTTCAAACGACGTGCCCATCGACGCTGCCAGGTAGCCAGGCTAATGTTGACCACGAGCACGCCAAGCATCAGCGCCAAGCCCCAATCAGAAGACACAATCACCGCGGCATCGCGACTTAAAGCTCGTACGACCAGCTCAAAACCCACAGCGGCTAGCAACGACGCTAAAACAAAAACCGCCAGAGTCTCAAACTTGCGATGGCCGTAGGGGTGTTTCGAATCAGGCGGTTCATTCGCCTGACGCATGACCATCCACGCCAGCCCGTTATTCAACACGTCAGTGACCGAGTGCAACGCATCACCCAGGATCGCTAGAGAACCTGTGGAAAGACCCACCGCAAGTTTAGCTCCCAGGACAAGCAGGTTGCCGGTCCCTTCAATTAAAATAACCCGCAGAACCTGGGCGTCTTTTTCTGGATTTGGAGCTTGATCTGGATGCACTAAATACCCTGGTACTACGACTGCAAATTAAACGACACTGTTTCACTGAAGACTATCAACATGTTATCGGTAATGCCTAACTGATAACCTTAACGTACTTCCAGTTAGAAACACCCTACCAGGACTGCTTATGCGACTCATCAAATGTATTGCCACCATACTCATGGCGACCACCATTCTCATTGGATGTGGCGGTGAGAACGCTGAAACCACAACAGTGGAAGAAAAGCCTATCGTGGCGCTTGTGGTCAAATCGTTGGCGAATGAGTTTTTTGTAAATATGGCGGATAGCGCACGTGCGCACCAGGCGGCCAATGCCGATGACTACGAGCTGATCGTGAATGGTTTAAAAGATGAGAACGACCTGAGCCAGCAGGTGACACTCCTCGAGCAGATGACCGCACGGGGCGCCGATATTATTGTGGTCGCTCCCGCGGATTCGAAAGCGTTGATACCGGCGATCAAGCGTGCGCGGCAACGGGGTGTGATTGTCGTCAATATCGACAATCAGCTGGATCATGATTTGTTGACCCAGGAGAACATTCAGGTGCCCTTTGTGGGGCCTGATAATCGCGCCGGTGCGCGACTGGCTGCAGATCATTTAGCCACGACGTTGTCACCAGGTGATCAGGTCGCGATCATCGGCGGTATTGCGACGGCGTTTAATGGCCAGCAGCGCCAGCTTGGCTTTGAGGATGCCATGGCCGCGGCCAACATCAATATTGTGAGTGCCCAAGCCGGTAACTGGGAACAGGCCAGGGCAAGCTCAGTCGCTGCTGCCATGATTGCTGAACACCCTGACCTCAAAGCATTGCTGTGTAGTAATGACAGTATGGCCATCGGTGCGGTAGCGGCAGTCCGCCAGGCCGGCAGGACTGAGCAGATCCAGGTGATCGGCTACGACAACATTGATGCCGCGCGAGAACTATTGAGCCAGGGCGACATGCTCGCAACGGTTGATCAGTATGGCGATCAACTGGCGATTTACGGCATAGAATATGGTTTACAGATTCTTCGCAATGGCCGCATTCCAGCCGATAAGCAGACACCAGTGCGTCTCGTCACTGCTGACAGTTTATAGCCTGCTTTTGACGCTACCGTTCCTGCAAATCACCGGGCTTAACAAAAGCTATGCAGCCCCTGTGTTGGATAACACTGCACTGACATTGTCTGCCGGGAAAGTGCATGCGCTGATGGGCGCTAACGGCGCAGGCAAGACAACGCTTTGCAATATCATCTGTGGCATTACAGCTGCCGACAGCGGCAATATGCAAAGGCTCGGCCATCCCTATCAGCCAGATTCGATTCTCGACGCGCATCGCGCCGGTATCAGAATGGTTATGCAGGAACTCAACCTGATCGACGATTTATCTGTCGCGGAGAATCTGTTCTTCGGGGACCTTCCTACACGTTATGGCATGGTTGATTCAAAGCGACTCTTTGCCGATGCAACTACCCTGCTCCGCACGGTGGGTATAGATGAGTTATCACCCTCCCAGAAGGTTCGTGATCTGGGCATCGGTCACCAACAGCTGCTGGAAATTGCACGCGCACTGGCTTCACCCTGCCAACTGCTGATCCTGGATGAGCCCACGGCGGCGCTCAGTGATCCTCAAGTAGATTTGTTGTTCAGGAATATCAAACGACTTACTGAGGCGGGCACAGCAATCCTGTACATCAGTCATCGCATGGAAGAGATCAAACAGATAGCTGATGACATTTCTGTATTGCGAGACGGCCGCACGGTTTTTTCAGGTTCCGCCAAACAAGTCAGCACGGAAACTTTGATCAGCAGTATGGCCGCGCCGTTGGTTGAATCAGCCCAGCCTGATCCAACGCCTGTAACCGGAAAGCGTGCTTTGCGGTTGCGAGGTGTTGGCACGACTGATCGCCTGCGGAGCATTGATCTGGATATTCGATACGGCGAGATTTTAGGTATCGCCGGATTGATGGGGGCCGGACGGACGGAGTTACTTCGCGCCATCTATGGTGCGGACCCAATAGATAGCGGCGTACTTTATCGTGATGACGATACGCAACCGCTCCGGCTGACATCGCCGGTTGATGCCGTTAGACGCGGGATCGGCCTGATACCGGAAGACCGCAAGCAACAGGGCGTTTTCCTGACGCAATCGATACGGCAGAACGTCACGCTCTTATCCCTCACTCAATTTGCGAATCGATGGGGGTGGATTGATCGTGACCGTGAGCACAAAGCTGTTCAACAGCAGATTGAATCGCTGTCGATCAAGTGTGACAACATTGACCAGGCGGTAGAAACCCTCAGTGGGGGTAATCAGCAAAAGGTCAGTATCGCGCGATGGCTCGTGCGCGATTGCCAGATTCTACTGTTCGATGAACCAACAAGAGGTATAGACATTCACGCTAAATCACAGATTTATGCGCTGTTGCGTGCGCTGGCAGCCGCCGGCAAAGCGGTTGTTGTGGTCTCCAGTGAAACCAGTGAGCTAACCGGTCTCAGCGATCGAATCGCTGTGATGTCAAATGGCTGTTTAACGGCGACTTTTGAGCGAGGTAACTGGACGTCAGAGGGTATTACTGTTGCATCTTTTCGTGGCTTCAATGCTACTCCTCTATTGGCGAATGACATATAAGAAGGTACCTATGCTGAGTCGTGTTGCAGATTTTCTCGGTCGAGATTTTTTGGGATTGGTTCTCGTATTGTGCGCGCTCGTCGTGTTTTTTGGCATGAGCAGTGATTACTTTCTCACTTCATTAACCTTCGCAACAATGGCTAACCAGTTACCCGCTCTACTGGTTGTCGCTGTGGGCATGACCTTCGTCTTGATCATCGCAGGCATCGATTTGTCCGTAGGTTCAGTGATGGCATTGAGCGGCGCCGTCCTGGGGTTCGTCCTTGTTGAACTTCAATGGCCGATTCCTCTTGCTATTACTGCCTGTCTTTTTGTGGGATTGTTATGCGGTCTCGGAAACGGAATGATTATTGCGCGCTGGGGAGTACCCTCTTTCATCGTTACGCTGGGCATGTTGGAGATCGCGCGCGGTGGGGCATATCTGGTGACAGGATCGCAAACGCTTTTTGTCGGGTCGACTGTTGCATGGATCAGCACACCGTTGCCCTTCCTGGGCATGTCCTCTGGCTTCATCGCGGCAATCGGGGTTGTTATCCTCGGGCAGACAGTGCTTTCGCGAACAGTCTTTGGGCGCCACATGATTGCAGTGGGTAGCAATGATGCGGCAGTTCGGCTGTCGGGTATCAGTGTTCGTTCTATTCGGATAAAGGTTTTCTGTCTGGCCGGTTTCCTTGCTGGCATGGGCGGTCTTTTCCAGGTTGGCTACTTACAATCAGCTGACCCCAATGCAGGCGTCGGTCTTGAGTTGTCTGCGATTGCGGCAGTTGTAATTGGTGGCACAAGTCTTGCCGGCGGCAGAGGGTCTGTGATCAATACCTTAATGGGCGTGCTGATTATCGCAGTCCTGCAAACAGGTCTGGCACAAATTGGTGCAAGCGAACCCAGCAAGCGTGTCATTACAGGCGTCGTCATTATTGCCGCGGTGATTGTAGACGTGCTCCGCCATCGGTCCGGGGGCGTTGCTCGATATTTCAGTGCACTAAGAGGGTCGCGTTAACCATACAGGGAATGATCGTCAACATCGATCAAGGCATACATCACCTTTTTATTCTTAAAAGCACTTCTAACCGCCTACTGAATCATTCTGATAATCTTCAATACACCTGATGAGCATTGATCGATCGGACAACTGGTTGGATCCAGCGGGTCTCCTCCGCCATTCACTTCATCGAAGTCGGAATAACCGTCTCCGTCTGAGTCGGTGCTGACTGGGCTGCTACGAACAATAGGCGTGGGATTTGCGACGAATACCGCGAGATCAGTATCCGCATCAGGCGTGACAAGTCCGCGCTCAAACCCGTCCAGCAAACCGTCTCCGTCCGTATCTGCCAGACAGGGATCGGATTCACCCGGATCAACCATGCCATTTCGATTGGCATCTTCAATGCCATCCGGCAGGCCATCATCGTCCGTGTCAGCATCACCTGCCGCGGTGCAGGTTGTGTTTTCCAGGTCATTTTCAAGCCCATCACCATCACTATCCAGACCCCTGTCTATGATCGAAAGCGACTGACCTGGAAAACTCATTTGCGCACCGCTGAGCGTTTGTGTACTGACCAGCGCATCGGCGTTAATTGCGGGTAACTCAGAAACACTGCCCAGCAGGCCAATGCGCAGTGGAAAGCCGGCTGCGCCTTCAAACAAATCAGCCACCAGCCCATTGAACTGTGCCTGCATGTAGTTTGCTACCGAGGCTACTTTGACGTTGTAATACGCTTCACTGGTGAATTCGTTGTTTGCAAATGAGTAATCGACGGCAACGTCTACACCGCCGTCAGGTAGGGTCACTGACAGGCTGGTGGTACTGTCCGTCCAGGCTGGTACCACAACCGTGTAAGGTTGGCCCGCCTGTACGGTAATCCATTGACTGGTGTCGATGTCAAACACCTCGGTATCCTGACTGAAGCGCAGTTGAGCTTCCACGTTAGGCCTGAAGGTATAACTGGCATCCCAGCCGGTCCAGGTCACAACATCCAGATCAATGGCATCCAGCGCCAATGTGAGGACCCTGGTAATTCCGGCTTCTGCACCCAGGCAGGCGGCCGTTCCGAGGCAGACCAGACCATCGATGTCCAGTTCGGCACGAAACACATCTGAATCGTGGGTTGTACGATCGTTGACAAAAGCGTCCAGGAAACCCTCAGGTGAACCGTCCAGGGCCTGCAGATTCACCAGTGGTCGCAATTTGTTTGGCAGGGTGTTGATCAGATGCCCTTCCGCGTTAAGGAAATGACGGGCAGGTTTTGCCACCGTTTGTGGTATTTGTGAATCAAGTCCCCCGTAAAAACCACGATCGGTAGCCGACGACCCTGGTGGCGTGACCGGGGTGTTCAGCTCAGGTATCTGCAGTATCAAAGTTGCGAGATTTGTACCTCCGGTAAGAAATGCGCCGACGTCACCCACACAAAGCAATTGGTTAATGTTTTTCCAGGGACAGACACCAAAGGGGAAATCAACGCCAACAGCGGGCAGCTCATAGGGAGTGTCCCACATTCCTGTACCGAGAAGGTCGAGATCATCATTGGAGATCGACACTTCAGCGCGAACGACTTCGGGTAAATCAGGCACACCGTTGAACAACCGCGCATCCAGACTTTCGCCGATCTGCCAATCCAGAGCAGCGATCTCATAACTTCTACTGAATGACTCATCAATGATATTCAGGATCGTCTGCAACTGGTCGCCGGATTCCGGATCAATCGACCAGATTTCTGCGGCGGTGTTAACGCCGATCTCAAAATCCATCGAAAGACTGGTCAGAAATGACGGCCACCTGGTGGACATGCAGGACCCACGCAACCCCGTCCCTTCGATCGTGCAATCAGAGCCGGTTCCGCGGAAATCATCACCGCTATATCCCCTGGGTCGGTGATTCAGTTCAAGGGTAAATACCTGTCCTGCGGGCAGAGAAGTGCGACTCGCTGAGACCACCGCGGCCGTTGCATAGTAGAGGTCTACATCGCCGGGTTCGGCACTTGAAAGCCCAGGCGTAATGGTCAAGCCGCCGGCAAGGTTCACCGACTGGCTCACTTCTACCCCGATCTGGTAGTCCCGCGCGGGCAGCGGCGTATCACTTGTTGGTCGCGGACCAAAGCCACTGCCGATATTGATCGAGGTAGGACTGACGTAAGGGCCTCCAATGAGGCTGTTAACTTCGTTGATCGTAAAGCTTTGAACCGTGTTGATCGCCGTCCCTGTGATTGGGTCAGTCGTGCAGCCGTTGTTTATATCGTCCAGTGGCGCGATCACACCGGTCACCCTGTTCGCGCAACAGCCAATACTGCGGCTGGCAAAACTCACGTTGCCGCCTGCAATACACTCGGCCCGAGTGGGGGATACCGCGAGGTCGCGGCACGCAACAATTTCGTCATTGAGCGGAATATTGGTTGAGTTTGCATCACACTGCGCAACGCCTTCATCCCAGATGTCCTGCGCTGTAATGGTCGGCCCTGATCTGGAGATTGTTCGTACCTAACGTTGACTTATCGTGCCGCCGCTTTGCTCGGTAACCAACCCGGACAAGTCAACAAAGGTTGGATCTGGCAGGCTATCGAACAGTGGCTGGTCCGTCGCGGCAAACAACAGTTCAGTTCTGGATTGTCCTGGTGCCGCGATCGGGTCGGCGTCGGCTGCACCAGTGGCAAAAATGTAAATCTCTTCGCCATCGAGGAAGCCGTCACCATCACTGTCGGGGTTGTTGGCATCCAGACCATTCTGCTGTTCCTCCAGATTGGACAGTCCGTCATTATCGGCATCCTGGGTTGCATCTCTTGCCAGGCGGGGGTTCAGATTGGTCAATATTTCAAAGGCATCCGACATGCCATCGTTATCTGTATCAGCCTGCAAGGGGTTCGAATTGTGCGTATTGACTTCGTCCCCATCCGACAAACCATCCCCATCGGTATCACTGGACAACGGGTTGGTTTGTGCTGCCTGTTCTGCAAGGGTAGTCAGGCCATCGCCGTCGTCATCATTCTGAGCGCCGCCAGCAACAAGCGGATCGAGGTCAAAGGTCAGTTCAAAACCGTCGCCTAAACCATCACCGTCAGTATCGAATAACAGCGGGTTTGTACCGTTTGCAACCTCGACGCCATCCAGCACTCCGTCCAGGTCAGTGTCAGCGATGCGCGGATTTGTGCCCTGGCTTAGTTCGTCACCATCAGACAGGGCGTCGAGATCCGTATCGGCCAGCATCGGATCGGTATTGTGCGTGTTGACTTCAACACCGTCATCCAAACCATCACCGTCAGAATCAAGCAGGGTTGGATTCGTGAGCGTTGTGAGCACTTCAAAGCCATCTTCCAGACCATCGCCGTCGCTGTCCGCAAGCTGCGGATTGCTGCCTGCAGCCTGCTCCTGCAGATGCGTAAGATTGTCGTTGTCTATGTCGATATCCGCATCAGCGACATTTGGGTTCAAACCGGACTCGACTTCCCAGCCGTCGAGAAGCGAATCATCGTCTGAGTCCGGGTTGAGTGGATCAGTCAATGCTGCCTGCTCATCCGCGTCAGTCAGGCCATCTTCGTCACTGTCAACAAGATAAGGGTTTGTGCCAAGTGCTATCTCTGCTGAATTGGTCAAACCATCGTTATCAGTATCGGGAAAGAGTTCCAGCGTCACTTCCTGCCAATGACTTTGGCCCACGTCTGGGGAAGATGCAGACCCCCAGTTAATGGTCGCAGTTGTGGAGGTGGTCAGTGTCCTTCCGGGCAAGTCTTCAGCGATCACGCTGCCATTGACGACGATATCTGCGCTCACCGTAGTGGGATCGTACACCACGCGAACATCGTGATAGTCGCCATAGCTGCCGATATCTATGGTTGATGAAGTCCCCGATGGCCTGAGTTGCACGATGCCAGCGGCGGTGATACCGAATAGAACGCCGAATTCCCGTCGACCGGTCTGATACGGAAAACGGGCGAACATGGTTTTAGAGTAATCGATGGAGTCCGCTACACCGATGGTTTGTGGCTGTATGCGCACGCGAGCGCGAAGTTCCCAGGGAAAACTGGCGCTGATGGGTGCGATGTCCATCCTGTAAGAACCCAGGTCGCTGGTGCCGTTGTCTCGCACTCTCCAGTAAGGGCACGGCGCGTCACAATTCCCTGCGCCAAGATCTTCATCAACACCCTGCCAGGATTGTCCACTGGCGGTGGAAGGGCTCAGCCAGCCACCCAGTGTTGGATCATTGTCTTCCAGGTGTGATGCAACAATAAATTCACAAACGCCGTCCTGATCATAGTCCTGGTATACGCCGCAATAGGGGCCTTCACTGGGGTCGCTGGGAGACTGACAGTTAGCATCTGCGCCATCTGTTTCGCCATCGCCATTGTTGTCACTGCCGTCACCACACTCAGGCATTCCCAGGGTAAAGCCTGCGTTGGCGTAGCGGGCGGTACCGGCAGCTCCGCTGCTGCCGTCGCCGAAGTTAACTCTCGGTGCAACGGCACCGGCATCAATGCCGGTAAACCCTTCAGCGCTCAGCACGCCATCGAGAAACAAAGAGGCGGTGCCCATGTTTGCGTTATAAACGAGCTCCACATGAATGTAATCCGTGCGCCCAACCTGCGAAGGGGCAAGAGTGAAATCAACCGCATCCGGGAAGTCGCTGCCAACCAGGTCGATCAGTGTGGCACCGGCGGCATCACTGCCAAAGGTTAAGATAAAGCGCCGGTCGCCATTGGACACTTCCAGCAGTGCGCCCAGATCGACCGCATCGGATAAGCCAACTACCCGCTGTCTGACAGAATACACCCAGGATTCTGATGCTGTGGGACCGCTCAATTGATATCGGAGACGCCCCCCGGTATTACTGTTTATCTGCCAGGCATAAACATCTGGAAAGTCCGCGTCAGGCGCCTGGGGTGAAGCCGTAACCCCGGTATCACCAGGGGTCACAACCCACGCACCGGACAAAGGGTTTTGAGCGCCGACGTGCTGCATATCTGCAAGACTTGCGCTCGAAAAAAATGTTAGCAGGCAAACCAGACCAAATCTGAAACGGTTCATCTAGTAGGTCTCTCGAAAATTCCAAGAATTTAATTTTAGTTCTAACTATAAAGACGCCAAATGTAGCTAAAAGTGCTAGCGTTTAGTCCGCTTGTGTCGGGAATTGACACTAACCTCTTGCTGAGCTTTCCGACATGCTCGGATACGCAGACGTTCCATGTGATAAGTTTGGTAACTCAACCTTTGATCCTGGACAAGCAAAACGGCCAAACCCCTTAGTTTGGTTGATTGTTTCCACAACGTCTTGCTCTACAGTTATTGCTTTGTGACTGGCAGAAATTGAACACTCGTTCGTCACTTACCTGAGTGGCCGTGGATGCCAGCGTTTACAATGCTAAAAGTTCAAAAGCTGAACAATCTGCGTATTTCTATGCGCGATGAGCTCGCCAGGTCTGCACTAAGATTTGTGCCTCCGGACACGGTAGAAGATATCGTGCAGGAAACTTACGTACGGCTTTGTCAGATGAAAGACCCTGATGGGATTATTCACCCTCGGGCGTTCCATTTCTTGCCGATCCAGAATTTGTTACCAGTTACGAAATCGGCTTAAAGAATGCGTGGTTGCAGAACAAGGTTCAGGTCAATGACGCTGTATTCCATCTAGACTATGAGGATCTGCAGGAAAAGGCCTTTTGCCCCACATGCGGCGTGTTAGGCGCTGGACTTAACCTTTTCAGTAACGCGGCAGAGGTCACCAAAAAAGGTATCCAACCGGATAACTTTTTTACTAATAAACAAAGCTAATGTGCCAGTGCCCAAGTAGAAGACGCTTAACAATCCTACCGGCGCCATTCTAAACCTGTTGACCGGGCGTCTTCTGTCTCTCGTTTAGTTTGTAACAGCCGCAGCAATCCGTCTTTCCAGTTGAGGTTGCATAGCGCGGTATCTATCCTGCCTGGCGACGGGGCGAGCATTTGTCTGCAGATGGCCAAAAGCCATCTCATTAGGTTCCAGATCGTTGAACGTCGGCCATATCGGAAGATAGTCATCGTTGGGACTGCCACTGCGTGCAAAATTAGTCCAATAGCCCATCATCTCTGCGGACAAAGCAATGTCTCTATGGTCGCTGGGCCAGAAAGGAATAAAGCCGCCAAATACGTGATTGAGTTCCAACGCGTGAGAGGCACCGATGGTTTGTTCGGCGGATGGTGGGTGGCGTTCGTAGAAATATAGATAACTCGGGTGACCGGCTGCACTGTGGGCTTGCGCCATGTAAAAAGCGTGCCTTCCGAACCACGCGTCGCCCATTAAATGTGTTGCCGCACCAACCACATCAGCATTGTCGTCAACGGGATATGCGCTCGCCAGAAATTCAGCGTTGTCGCCGAATTGCGACGTTAACAACTGCTCCCATTGGGCAATGGTGGTGGGTGGTTCTGAACCAGAGCCATCAACTGGCGTCAGGCCAAAAGAATACAGCACCGAGCCTTCATCAGCGTTACTACCCACCATGAGGGGCACCGGGTGTTGTGCCGCCTGATTGAAAGTGTGGGCTGTTGGGTCAGGCAGTACATAACCATCGACCTGGGGATGAAATGTGCTGCTGATCTCAGGATCAAGCGCAATCGACTCGAGCTCATCAACGCTCATTGTGCGCAGCGCACTTATTTCGTTGGCGCCACTGACGCCGGCGAGTTCAGCAACCTTACGACCTGCTTCGAAGCCACTGATGTTTTCAGGTGCACTCTCCGTGGCCTGGAATTGATAAAAACCGGTGCCACTCTGGGCAATGGCTTTGTGGAAGAGGCCCAGGCTTAAAGGTGAGGCCATTAATTGCCCGACTGAATGGCCACCGGCGGATTCACCAAAAATGGTGACGTTGGCGGGGTCTCCACCAAAGCTTTCGATGTTGCTTTGAACCCACCGCAGAGCAGCAATCTGATCCAGCATACCGTAATTGCCCGAAGAACCATTCGGGTCTTCCGCGGCCAATTCAGGGTGTGCCATAAAACCATATATGCCCAGGCGATAATTGATCGTTACCAGGACCACACCCTGGTTCACCAGGCCGGCTGATTCGTAGGTGGCTCCACCAGAGCCAAATTGATGACCGCCGCCATGAATCCAGAACATCACGGGGAGATCTTGCGCCCCTTCTGGCGCAAAAACGTTCAGGCTCAGACAGTCTTCCGCTGTAGTCATAGAAAACAGGGTCAAACTCTTATCCAGCACCCATCGAGACCAGGCTGGCATGCCAGCGCCTTCAGTCAGCTTGCCAAGAAATAGCGCATCCCCAGCATCGGTGACCTGCCAACAGGCAGCCCCATATTCGTCAGCCTGCATGACATCGGACCATGCTGGCGTGGGCTGTGGTGCTCGCCAGCGCAAATCACCCACAGGAGGGGCTGCATATGGGATACCACGATAGGCCTGGATACCGTCATCTACCACCCCCTGTACTAATCCGCTGGTGGTGGCTGTTGGCGTTGTTGGCGCCTGGCTGCAACCGGTAAGCAACAACAAACCTGCGATTAGCCCTGCTCTGATCCCAGAATCGTGAGACCTATTCTTGGCCATATTATTCTCCCTTGTGCGCTGGCGCGCTGATTTAAGGTATTACAGAGGGCCCCAGGTATGCTGAAGTTTATTCAGACAGCTTAGCGCGAATCTTGTTTGCTATGTCCGCAACCGATGTGCGCAGCGCAGCTTCATCGATGGTCAGAATCTGCTTGTCTTCCATCAATACCTGCCCTGCGACAACTGTTGTCGTGACATCGTCGCTGTCCAGTACATACACCAGATGAGAGACGATGTCGTAAAGGGGCAGCTGATTGGTTTCTCCGTATTCAACCTGAATCAGGTCAGCCTGCTTGCCGATCGTCAACGTGCCAATTTCATCGTCCCAGCGAATGGCACGGGCACCGATTCTCGTCGCGAGTGCAAGCGCTGTTTGCGCGGGTATGGCCGTTGGATCGCCTGTTTCGCCTTTGTGCAGCAACGCTGCGAGGCGAACCTCTTCCCACAGGTCAAGGTCGTTATTGGAAGCTGCGCCATCGGTCCCAAGCGCGACGGCAACACCAGCGGTCAGCAGATCAGGGACAGGAGAAACGCCGGAAGCAACTTTCAGATTTGAAGTTGGATTGTGAACAGTGCCGACGCCCGCGCTCGCCACCCGCTGAATATCCTCATCTGTCAGCACCACCATATGGGCTGCAATCAGTTTTTGGTCGAATAGTCCAAGGTTGGCCACATGATTCACAGGGGTTTGGCCGTAGGTCGACTGGATCTGCGCAACTTCAGCAGGCCCCTCGGACAGATGCATGGTTACCAGCGCATCGTTGTCGGCAGCGGCATCAACGGTCGCAGCGAGATGCTCAGCCGACACAGTATAAGGCGCATGGGGTGCAAACGCGGGCCGTATGCGGCTATGTCGGCCCTGCCATTCATCGACAAACTGACGGGCTGCGGCAAAGGAGTCTTCCCAACCTTCGAAGCCAGGGCTGGGAAAGTCGATATGGGGTGCACCTACGACCGCGCGCAACCCGCAGCGGTCGACCACGCTGGCAATTACTTCCGGATAGAAATACATGTCCACAAACGTGGTTGTGCCGCCACGAATCATTTCCCAACACGCCAGTTCACTACCGATTCGGACAAATTCGGGTGTGACAAATCGGCGCTCCATCGGGAAGACGTAATCGTTCAGCCACGTCATCAGATCCAGGTCGTCAACCATGCCGCGAAACAGCGTCATGGCCGAGTGCGTATGGCCGTTGATGAGCCCGGGCATGACCACACGGTTTTGCCCCGGGATGACACGGACCGCGTCGTAGCGTGTCAGCGCCTCGGCACTCGGCAACACGTCGACAACACGTTCGCCGCGGATCACAACGGCGGCGTTCCTGAGCGGCGCGACGCCCTCTTCCATGGTCAGCACATATTCACCGTGGACGATAAGGTCTGCAGGCTCGCGTGGTTCGGCCACCACAACAGCAGAGAGGGTCAACGTGCAGGCAAGTGCCAAGAAGTAGTGTATTCGCATGAAACGGCAGTAAAAAATTACGATTCGCGACTATACAACCGGGTGAGGTGGGGAGTCCAAACGAGATCTTCAGTTAAGAGCAAAAGACCTTTCTGAGCAGCTCACTGCGTGACAGCAATTTCACCTGAATCAAAGACCACCTCCCCGGCCAGCAAAGTCATCAACACCGCAACGTCGCCAATATCGTGTGGCTCGATGGAAAACAGATCTTTATCGAGCACCACAAGGTCCGCATCCATGCCAGGTAAAAGTTGACCCACGCGAGCCTCCTGGTTCATGAGATAGGCAGTGTTTGATGTGTAAGCGGCAAGCATCACTTCCAGATCTACTTTCTCGTTTTCATTGAGGCTGCCTTGAATGCTGCCTGTTTCATCTTCTCGCGTGAGGGCTGTTTCAATCGCCTTCAGTGGACTCATCGAAGAGACGGACCAGTCGCTGCCACCAACAATCAGACCACCCGCGCGATGAACGGAGCCAATGGGATACATTCGTTGAACCCGTTCGGGACCCACTACCGGAAGATTAATCTCGGTAATATAGGCTTCGGGATAAGCCCACAAAGCCTGGAAATTGGCGGCCACATCCAGCTCAGCGAAGCGTGCGTGATCGTCAGGGTGGATGAGCTGCAAGTGAGAAATGTGATGGCGGTTGTCGCGCGCACCGTTCTCAGTGCGGGCATATTCAATAGCATCCAGCGCCACTCTGACTGCTTGATCCCCAATCGCGTGAAACAGAATCTGCACATTGTTCGCATCGAGTTCCGCAACTTTGATGTTCAGTTCATCTGGCTGTAATAGCAGACTGCCTCTGGCACCGTTTCTATCGATATACGGCTCGATCAGCGCTGCCGTTTCGCCTTCGAGAACACCATCAACAAATATTTTTGCCGCGTGGCGACGGATGCGTTTTTCGGTAATCCGATCTTCAGCAACAATAAGATCATCCTGGTTGT